AAAGAGCACAGACCTGGATTCCTTATAATTTATTGCCCAAACTGGAGCATTTTCGAGATTGAAAGGACACTGTTAACTATTACACCAGGGCAGCAAATGTACTGGGACTCTTCAGGCAAAACAAGATATATGTTACTCTACTTACTACTGCTTCCTACCTGTGTGGATTTGGGCAATTACATAACCTCTCTGAATTCTGGTTTCTGTATTAAAAAGCCTAGTATCACAGCCCTGCCTCCCAGGGCTGGTAGAGGGATTAAAGGAGTAAATTAAATTATATGAAAGTTCCTGGAACTGCCCTGGCCACAGAGTAGGCTCTCCAAGTTTCTTCTCTGTCCCTGGAGATTAAGAGCAAGGACCTGTCGGCTCTCTGGAGTGGGTTCCCGTGGTGGGAGGGGGTGTGTTCAGCTGGAGAGTCAGAGTCCAATCCTTCCAGTGCCCTCCAGAGGGTGATGGCGGGGGTGGGCCAGTGAAGCATCCTAGGCTGGAACTCCCTGGTGCACTTGTCCTCTACCCTCTTCCCAGGTGCCGGTGACTTCTGTGCCCACGGAGGGCCCCCACCAGGGCCCAGCCTGGAGCGGCTTTGCTTTCACTATCTCTCTGTGGCTGCCAGAGGCCCCAGTTTTGTTTCAGGGCAAATCCGTGTGCTTTTGTCCTCCTGAGACGGCCCTGTGTGAGGGGCGTTCTCCAGCGTTCTGGAAAGACTGGAGGCTGAACCAAAGGAGGCCGTTTGCATTTTCTGTGCCTGCTCCTGGAGCCTGAGAAATTGAGCAGTCAGTTCCAACCCAGAACTTTTAAAAAGAGCTGGGTGTGGGGCTTGGCTCTGCCACTTGACACGGGGCTAGTCAAAGGTCTCCAGACCTCAGGTTCCTGTTGAGGGGGCGCTGAGTCAGCTCTGTCCTCATGGCTACGGTGAAAGGCGCAGGTGACAGGGCTGTGGCTGCTCACAGTCTCTGCACTCCATCCTTGGGGCTCCCACTACACTGCTTCATCCGTCTTTCTCATTGCCCAGGGAGTCTCTGGAGGCACAGTGGGCACTTCTAAGGTGACAGCTTTCTCCAGTGTCCAGGCAGATGAGGTCCTCAGTAACGGAATTAATGAGGCCAGAGCCAGGAAGTGACCCGACATCCGTGGCATCAGCTCTATGTGGAGGCTGCCTCCCACGTCTCAAAGCCAGAGCTGCTGTAGGTGGAAGGGTATGACCTTCTGCCAGATACCCTTGTGCATCATCAACTCTGCAAGGTGACCTCACGCTGGGGACATTATCCCAGCAGCCTCAACTACTGGCTACTTTGTCCTTCATTTCCTCCCCTAGCTCCGAGAAGGTTCTCCTGGCCACTCGAGTCAGGACTCACTCGAAAGATAGTTTCACGAAAATGTCAGCTCTGGGAGGCATCCGCAGTCTCCTGTCCAGCCAGTCTCCTCCATTAAGTGAAGAGCCCAAAGCCCCAAGTGGCCATGGGCAGCAGGTGTGCAGTTGCAAGGGTGGCCCCTTGGGGTGGGTGCAAGGTCCATCTCAGTACTGAGTCTCCAGGCAGAAGCCACAGGCTCCCAGCCAACTCTGTCCTCAACGTCTCTGGCCCAGGCAGGGCCTCCTCAGCTTTATCCTCTTGAGTGAGGTCGAGAGAAGTGGGCCCCAAATAGGTCACTAAGATTACCTACAGCTAAGAGACAAGATATCTCCAAAAATGAGGTACTAGAGCTCTGAAAACAGGTGCCAAAATTCTACTTTAAGACTTTCTGGCCAATCAGCCTATTAATGGAGGGTGTTGAAAAGTAAGGCCCCCAATACTAAAGGACTACACTAACATCTAATATATTCTCACCAACAGAGTAGCTGACCATGTTCTCGCTGATTGATCCCAGACTTTGAGATGTTATTCAGTGTTAACAATTCGATGGGCAAAAAAATGGCATCTCATTGCTTTCATTTATATTTATAACTAGGGAGATTGAGCATTTCCCACGTTTGTGTGCCATTTTTATTTCTTCTGAGAAGAGCCTATTCACATCCTTTTTTCTACTGGGCTGTCCTTTTTTTCTTAATGATTTAACATCATTAAAGGATTAATGACATTAATCCTTTGTCATGTTTTTCATATTTTCTCTGTCATTTGTCTTCTAATTTTGTCTTCTGCAGAAAGTTTTAGTTTCATAACATCCCATGCATGTCTTTTCCTTCAGCTTCTGTGTTTCATGTCGTGCTGAGAATTTCTCTCACTGAGATGATTCAGCTGCTGCTTCAGACGTTCTCAGAAACAACAGCCACAAAGCTTGCAGTGGCAGCAAATGATGCTTATTCAAAAGAAAATGTTTATTTTAAAAATAAGAACTGTCACCCCAATCATTTATTTAAATATTAATAGAGACGGGTAAAAATTACAAACGGTATATTGAAACTAACAGCTTTATATTCACAGATGGTCAGATGCTGACAAATAAGATATAAAATCTCTGTACATTGAGGTTCAGTTGTTACGAAAATGCATATGAAGGTCTGAGGAACGGTCTATTTACAGGCTTTGGTGGGGCCATGAGCCCCAATTTTCTACTGGCTCCTGATGCTGCCTGAGAACCATGCACAGCTGAACTCGGTCCGAATACACCAGAGGATTTAGTTTTAGAAGATGTCTTTCTGCATGTTGTGGACCCCCTAAAATGTGACAAAGAAAATTGAAATGTTAAATATAATGCAAAGTGAATAGTCTTCTCGTAACCTGACGGAGCTATATAACCCATGATTTTCCTTGGTCTTATACGTCTCTATGCATTTTCTGCCTCTAAATACCCCTGGGGGTAAGGTCAGTTTCCTTTACAATTCGAGAGGTAAAGGACTACTGCCCTTCAGACAAATGTGTCTCCCTAAATTGTCCAGAACTGTTTCTGAATTCTGTGACTTGAGACCAAACTCCATGTGCCTTCTCTCCACCCACGCCTTTCACAGCCTCTCATCAGACCCCTCCCTCCGGACAACACAGCCCAGATCCACATTCCCAGATCTGTTCTGACCATATAAAGAAAGTGAGAGTACCTTGTTTGAAGGCCCCCAGTGCCCGGGACAATCGATACTCTGGAATTACTGTGCTTGCACAGACCAGAGAAAGGGCCGGGTGAGTGGAGGTGGGGCAGGGCAGAGCTGAGCCTCTTCCTGTCCATGCCCAGCCCCAGCTGGGGGAAGGCTGCAGACGTGGTTCCCTGGGGAGGCCTGCTGAGTGGCTCAGGTCTGGCAAGTCTCTGTCACAGCCATGTTGCCAGCACCTCGCTGGCTTGCCTACACTCCTCCCAATTCCGTACGCTTGCATCTCCCACTCAGTGCCTTTAAAACCGGGGAAGAAGCTCCGCCCAGAGCCTATTACAAAGTCCTTCCAGCACCTCACTTCCCTCACTGACCTGGAGATAACAGCTATGTTTTTCCTCCCCCCAAAATAAAATGGAAAAAAAAAATTCATAGGGCTGGCATGTTTATAAGGATAACAGCAAGCTGCATTCTCTATAGAAGCCTTTTTCCTACACAACTATTTCCTGCTGCTTTGTAACTAGGCTGAATTCATGCCCAACACTAATTCCATAGCATCGGGGTAAGCAAGTGGCCTACCATCTCTGAATTCAGGGGCCACCACTCTGTGTTAATGACATTCTGGTGGGGCTAGGTGAAAAGCGGTTTCTCAACATTGTTAATCTCCTGCTTCAGGGCAGTGTTACTGCAGAACTGGCAGAGATCTGCTAAATCCACAGAGAAGCAGCCCTAAACTTCCCTACCCTGATTTCCTGCAGAGAAATTAAGCCCCGAGCAAAAACCTGTTTATGTTGATTTACAGAATGAATCTGCCAGCAGCAGCCTCCATCTCACCACGCCATCCATTTTACTCCCACTTAGAGAACAGGAACACAACTGGTTCATTGTGTGTTATTCTGAAGATGTAAAGCTCTGAGGGCAGGGTGGAGAGTTAAGGACCCTGGCAAAAAGCCGCAATTATTCTGTCCTTGTGCAGAGACTCTCAACCAGGTGAGCAGAGTGGAAACTGTGGGAAACTTCAGTGGAAATGAGGAGAGTGAAGCACTGATACAAAGAGGCTGTTACAAGGGTAAAAAAAAGTTACGAAATTTACTGGTTTTTAGTCAGCAGGGATTAGAGAAGAATTCCATCGTAGATAAACAGGCTAATTAAAAACTAGCATCAAAATTGGGACTGTCTTTGGAACAAGTGTAAGCTTTCCTACTTATTAGAACAGGTTCTAGGCCATAGGGCAAAGTGCTTCACTCTTAAAAACAAAAGTTGTGAAAACTGAATAAGGGAGCCGATGGCAATGAATAGAACACTAAAATATGGTTTGCTCTAACAAGTAAAAACGAGACAATCATAATCATTTTTAAGGAATCTCCATGGACAATGTGCAGAAATGTGCTCTGGGCAGGTGTGGGCGAGTCAGGGTGCAAGACTCCCTGTGAAATTGAGACCAGGTTGGGGACAGCCCGGCATAAGCCTTCCTCAGGCCAGACCTCAACTTCCTCATCATAAACCCCAGGAGGCTGGACTCCTACTCTGTGTGGGCTCCTAAGGAAATGAATATTTCCCAAAACAGAGAACTAAATGAAGAAAATAACATGTCTCCACTGAAGAACATCTGCTGGTCACTTGAGTATTAAAAACCACAAAATTAAACTAACATTTACTAATGCCTGTAATTTCTGTACCATGCAGAAGGATTAGCACATACAAGATGTTTGTTTATGGAATTAACAAGAAAATGACAATCTGGTAACATTTGCCTTCCCCTCTCTTCCCTCAATTTTTCGTTTTTATTAATCAGAAGGAAAGAGGTAGAAAAACTGCAAAAGAAAAACACAAGGGCTTGCAGGAGCTCACTGAGGACTTATTTCCCTTTTTCTGTACGCATTTCTGTGACAACCTGCAGTTATTTGAGGGCCACATTCTCCAGACTGATGGGATGGTCACGATCCTGCCAGACCTTACCTATAAGGTAAGGACAGAGGATGCTCTTGCAGAATACAGGAAAAGAAACAGTGCCATATGAAGAACGCTGCCCAGATTATCACCCAGGACCTGACAACGCTATCTTTGTTCCTCCTTGGTGTGCAGATAGCGCCCCATAGCAGATGTATCCCAGCCCAGGGGGCAGGCACGTGTAGAAAAGGGAAGATGGAAACCATTCACACAGCCCCAGAGAGGCCTGGCTGACTCATCTTTTGGTTTTCCTGCTGTGGCCTCCCCTGTGCTGCCCTGCAAAGGATGGGAGGTGGGCTCTCCCTAGTATTCGTGAAGGGCCGGGACTGGAGGCCCGCAGATTCTGCAGCAATAAAAGCAGTGTAGCAAGTACTGATGAAATCATAAAAGCAAGGAGGAAGCAAACCTCTTTGCTTATTCAGCTAGTATGCAGTATTTTAGGTGGAAAAGTCTCTTAAGAAGAGCAATTATCAAAAAAAGTCTTTTTTCTAAGTTAAGGTCAAAACTGGAGAAGTTTTTACAAACTAGAAAACTTTAGTGATAATCAACTCAGGAATAAGTATTTTAAAAGTCTGAAACAAATGTTTTTGCTTGAGATCAAACTTTAACAATCACTCTACTAATTGCAGAGGCAACAGTTAGTGATGGTATATTTTAATAAATGCTTCAAAGCAAACCGGAGCAGTTATACTTCTGTACTCTTCTCCCTTACACATTGCAGAACAGGTCTCAAAACTTACGCTTTTGTCTTGAGATCACCGAAACTACTTTTTCTCCTTTTAGACCTGTGGGAGGCTGGCATCCTTTTCCTCTTTCTTTCATTTCTGGCTTTATTTGCAAAGTAGTGAGAAGATATGGGTGTTTCCTCATAGAACTCTGCAGAGCTAATTCTTCCAGTCCCTCTGCTGCTGGATGGGCTCATTCGTGGGGAACTGTCCTCAGCTACAAATGGAAAATTCAGACACTTACTGGTAATACCCTGCTGGTCCCAGTGCTGTCAGTCTACATGGAGACGCACAACGCAGGAGACAGTTCGGCTGACACCTACCTGCTTTCCTGGCGTCTTCTTGCCACACAGACTTGACAATTCCGCAAGAACTGATCATTTCTTTTTTTACTTCACAAAGCCCCAAAGTGCTCAGTGACTATTTATTTTTTAAAGCAAGAGGATCAGAATTTATTTAAAAATATGTGATACTCTTTAACTTAACTAGAGATGTCAGGTTTAACTCATGCTAGTGTGTATGGCCTGCATCCCTGCTACTGCCTGGGCAGTAAATCTTGTTAAGTATAACGCATTAAATAAATGCCAAGCTGAAAAAATAACTCAGTATAAGAGAAACATAACCAACTACGTTCTGCACCTCACCTTTGAACAACAGTTACTTTGTAAATGAGTATCAGAAAATTCTAGACATTTTATTCTTCAAAGACAAAACACCTCTTTGCATAATAGTTGTGAACATTTCATGTACAAAGCAGGAAAGAGGTCTGTATGAAAGCACACATTTCCACAAAAGATGGTCATTTTCACAGGCATTTACATCCCAAGGCACACAAAGAACACGAAATCTCCCTACAGGTCAACAGTGGTCCATCTCCATTTTCTGAAGGAAGGTATTTCCTGACTGGTCTGGTTCACCCACGGGATATGCTGCCTGGTAGGAAGAGCACAAAGGACTCTGTCCCCCTAACACTGGTTCACAACACTGGTTCATGCAGGGAGGCACTATAGCTGGGGCGAAGGGCGCTGTCATACCAGCTGTGTGACCTTGGGGACATCAAAAAGCCTCACCCATTTCCATCTGTGAAATGGGTGCTGTGAGGATTGAGTGATACAAAATAGGCAGAGCTCTTGGCACAGTGCCTGTGAGTAGTGGCAGCGATCATTACCACACTGGCTGTTTCCACAGAGCAGCCCTGTCTGATGTGGGAAAATCCCTTCCGAACAAGTTACTGTACTAGACAAACATGTTCCCACCGAGAGAGTGTCAGTGTAGCCAAAGCAAGGCTTTCAACAGAATAATAACTATGCACAGGAATTTAGGAAAACCCTACTTTTCAGCATTTTGTTAATGGATAAAAAACAATTATGAACAGACAGGACTTGAAACACATGCTCACTCATTTCTCAGCCTGTTTATCATTACCATTAGCCTCTAGAAAAATCCCCCACCGTGGTGCCTTACAAAAACAGGAAAAACATTGATCTTAGCCTGTTGAGTCTTATCGTGCAGCAGTATGTTAGAGGAGGCGATGAGACTTTTGCCCTGTCCTGTCTCCTACAACATCTTTCTTTGTTCTCGATTTTCCCTTAGTCAGTGCTTTCTGTAGCTCAGTGACGAGGTTTGTAATTAGAGGTCTTCGTGACAGGCCTAATGTAACCTTTGGGAACATCGGCTAATGATGACTCACTTGGGCAGAGTCTTTCAATGGCTGATAAGATCATCTAGCAGTCCACGTTCATTCTTCCAAAATATCTAAACTCCACACTTGAATTTTATCTTTAGACATGCTTGTCAGATATCATGTTCCTTCCTCAGATAAGGACACTGAAGCACAAAGAGGGTGGTTATTTATGGCCTGCCAAGGACCACAGAACGAGTTGGTGGCAGTCCTGGGATCTGCACCCAGTGCTCCTGACTCCTCAGGCATTTGCCTTAACAGAACCACCAACTTCTGGGCTAAAGGGTCCCCCTTTGGGTTCTATTAGGTTCAGTAGCTGGCATCACCCAGGGACCTAAGCACCAGTGTCCTCTAAGAGGTGCCTGGCACACCAGTGGGGGCTGCCCAGAGCGCCTGAGTGTCAGTGTGACAAGGAGTAGGAAGCATGAATACAACCCGGTACCCACAGAATTCTAATCTGGTGAGATGCATCACTTAACATTAAAACAAGCTATTAAAAAATACTTATTTGGCTATATACTGAACCTGGCAATGTCCACTCAGAGTATTTCTGTAATACTGGAATCACTTCTGCACCATATTTTTCCAGTTTGTCTTCAGTAACACCATCAATTTGAAGCAAAACCTCAGGATCAGAAGATAAAGATTCTGTGCATGGACATAAAATTAGGAATTTAAATTACCACCCATAGAAAACCCACTGAATTCATGCTCATTCATCCATTCAGCACATGTCTGTTAAGTGCCAACTAACTGCAGAGCACTGGGCACATGGGCTAATTTTCTACAAGGCTGTTGGTGCCAACAGAGGCGGCAGACAGGCCCAGAGGGCAGGAGCCCATCAACCAATTCCAGCAGCAAAGGTGTGTTAAGTCAGGGCAGAGAAGGGGCGAGAGCACAGGACGTGGAGGACACCAGAGGGAGGACCTGTGCAGCGTATCTCAGAGTTTAACCAGACCTTACTCTGTCCTCACAACGAAGACCATGGCGAATGCATTCATATTTCCAGCTCCTCTAGACTCGTATATCCTCCTCAGAAAGGAATTTTTACATCCCCCCCAACCCAGTCCCATTCTTCCCTGTCTTTCTGCATGTGAGGTGAAGTGGGTATTCTGACTTTAATGAGTAGGCCGTTGAGACTTCTGCATACAGACTGCATCAGTGTGGACAAGCCTGACATTTTAAAGATCACTCTGGCTGCTGTATGGAAAACAGACTGTAAGAGAAAGAGTAGAAACTGGGAGGCCAGAGGAGCAAGCGAGGATGCAGTGAACTAGGATGCAGAAGTAGAGATGGAGAAAAGATTGATTCGGATGTGTTTTGGAGGCGAGTCTGTAGGAGTCGCTGATGCACTGGCTATGGAGAGTGAGGGAGTAGTAATTCCTATGGATTAGCCTTGGGCAAAGGGTGGGTTTCGAATCTGTGACTTTCACATCATTTCTATGTTTAAAAGAAAAGGAACAGACCTGTGGGACAGACCAGAAGGTTTAAGGAGAGGGCTAGTGGAAGATAAGTGAGAAAGGCAAGTAGAAATGCAGATCCTTGATAGACTTTGCACTTTATCTGGAGAGCTGCTGAAGTTTTAGCAGAGTTTTTGAAAGATTAAAATGCATATCATGTTCATCTCTCAAATTAAGAAGAACAGTTAAGAAATCACACTAATAGCTGAGGAACAAAAGCCTACATTTCATCAATTCTAAGACACTTTTTCATGGTTTGGCTTTCCTGTGGTCAGGATATATCTTACAAGTGCTGATGGCTGAATGGTAGCTGTACTGCGGTTGTTACTGCCTGTGCATGTGAGAACTTAGTCACAACTACTAGTACTGTCAACATGTCTACAATGTGACTGCAGTGATGGTTCCTTATTTGCTGAGTTTAAATGTCACATGAAATGTCTATCAAGAGACTAAACTGTGATTAGTGTTGAAAAAGTAACTGTAAATGCAGAAAACCTCAGAAACAGAGTAATGGGGAATAAATTTGGCATTAATAAAACAAGTATCTGTTTTTGAGGAAATGACCACAATTCCATAGTTTCTTGCAAGCAACAACCAATGCTTTACATGACTTAAAAAAAAAAGATGCCTAAAGTGGATAAAGCAGTGTTACATCTGATGTGTAAACTTCCGTTGACACTTCGTGCTATTATCAAGAACACATCACCACCAAATCAGAATGGGTGACAGGGTTTTGATTAAAATATTTGGGAAAAGGGTGGAACACACTAAAAAGGTTGTATCACTAACATTCTCAGCAATATGAGGAAAAACAAAGACATGGACAACTGAGTCAAAAAATTATTCGGAAGAGTCAGGCTTTGAACGTGAATTTTTACAAGTACCTAAATTAACTCACTTTGATTTTATGCATTCTTCATGTGTGTGCAGTTATATATGATAAAAATCTGTATCTAAATAAGTCAAAACAATTTTTTCAATACAAGCACTGTTAACAGTTTAATCAGCAGAATTTTTTCTTTCTTAATAGTTCATAAAATAGATGGCATCTTAGAGTTGATGAAGTACCATAATGACCTGTGGTGGTAGGAGAATAGAAAAGAGAGAAGGTATTGATTATGAAATTTTATAAGGAAGACCATGGAAGGTAATGTACACTACTCAGTCAACTATGGGACAACTTATTTTCCAGAGACTTTACTATTAGAATTCTGGCTGAGCTATCTGAAGTTATGGAAATAACTCAGGTCAGCAAGTATTTGTTAACTAAACACATAGAAGTGTGCCAGACCCAGATTCAAAGAAACATAAAACATAATCTCTTTTCATAAGGAGATTATGTTTTAGCTTTTCATTGCAAAGACATTTGTACACAGCATAGCTAAACATCATAAAAGCAGGCAAAAAATGGACACAAAATCATTAAGTGACATCTGGTGCTCAAGATTGCAATTATCCATATTCTAACATCCAGCATTAGAGGAAAATATAAAATTAAAAGCATAAAATTTGTCTAAATAACAAATTACTGTATATATCTTACAGAGTATATTTTATGTCAAGAATAAGTTTAAATTGCTTCTGAACTTTCAATTTAGAGGTTAAATGAAAATAATACAAAAGACCGATATATATTTATACACTTAAGAAGTTTTTTAGCAAGATTAATTTTTGGCCTATTAATTTATGCCACGTAACAGATGACTCACACACACCTACCTGCAAGCTTCTTGAGAGTAGCAGTGTTAAAGATATTAAAGTAATGAACACCAAAAACTTTTCCCAGAGCTTTGCAGACTTCTGTAAGTTCTCCAAGACATTTCTTAACCACCTCTTCCCTCTGAGACACCTTAGTCACCAAGGCTTTTTGCTTTTTAATACTGCTGGAATTTTCCGTTTCCATAAAGTCTACCTTTGTGAGAGAGAAAGAGATCATCAGAGTGGGTGTATGCATACTTGCATCCAAATAGAGGCTTTACTTAATGCTTAACTGTGTATTTTTTTTGTTTGGTTTTTTATTTCTGTTATGGCTCTGTCCACCTTTATACCTTAAGGGTCTAGCAAAGACTAACTTCTTGATAAATGTTTATTTAGCAAACAATTTAGTGATCTGATAACCCATTAAATTCATTTTGACAGGTATTATATTACTTGAGTTCAATTTTAAGATCTCTTCCCAAATTAAGAGGAACAGATATATTCATATAGGACAGTATAAATAAATTCAGCATCCAGAAGCTTTGGAAAAGACAGTTTAATTTGTGGTAATATGTTTTTGTCCACTCATTGTGAAATAATAAAATAAACATTTTAAATACCGTACCTTTAAATGCCCGTTTAGTACAGTTTGGGCTTTACTTCCAGTCATCACATAGGCAATTGGTTGGTCGTTGGCATTGATATATAAGTCTTCATCCAAGATTTTGTCGAGTATCAGCTTTTTAAAAAGTCTTTCGGCATTGTGTCGTGAATACGTAGACCCCTTTCCAAACAACCCTGACTGAATTTTTGCACTCTTACTCCCTGGGGAGAAGGTATAAGAAGTTAGATCAGTAAATGTAGGTACATCATAAACCTCTAATAGAAGAAGCTTAAAAAGTAATTTATGGGTAGGTCTGGATAAATGGAACAGAAAAATCTACTCCACAGGAAAACCCATGGCACAGATACTCATTTCCATAAAATGAGAATATCTATGAGTAAAATTCTAAAATTTCTATGGTTCTATGTACTTTTCCTCACCTTTTTATAACACACATTTATGAAAAACAGCAGCAGATTAAAGTTTATCATTTCGGATGTTGCATTTATAGCTTATGAAATTATTTCAGAGCAAAGAAATCAAAGAAAGAGTTTATGTAAACTTTTAATGGCTTCACATCACTGTGCTCCATTAGGATAACTGTGTATTACTAATCTAGTTACAAAAAAATTTTGACGATCAATTTTATAAATACTATCTATGGTTCTATACTGAGATCACCACTCGTTTACAATCAAAGTATTTAAGTCCAAACTCTTTGTCACCCTCACAAATGAAGCCTCCAGAAATTCCAGACCAAAGTACACTACTCAAGACTGCACACTTCCCTCCTCCCCTTGCTGGCTGAGGACACCACACTGGGCTGGATCTCTGGTTTCACATCCAGCTCCTCTAATTACTAATGTCTGCACTGTAAACACTATTTTATTACAACAATCTAGTCAGGAAGCCTTGTGACACTGATGATCAGAATTAAGTTACTTTGTAAAGCTTTAGCTCTATTTTAAGAGGTCCAAATAACTACATTATTATAAATTTCAGATGATTTCTGGTCATATATGTTGAATGATTTAAGTTGTTCTTTCAAGTGATTTCTATCCCTGAATGTCACATTACAGGACTACTGCTCTGGTAATGGTGAGCTGGGCGATGTGGACCAACCCTGGAGTGAGGATAACTAAGAAAGCTGGAGGAAACAGTTTTCTTAAAAACATAAAAGAGCTAATGGGAAATGAAAAATGTGTCATAAAAATGTTTGATTTAGTAATCTTTTTAGGTACCTAAATGAAAGGTAGAATGAGATATAGTTAAATGTATATTTAAAAGACTATTTAACACACCATGATTTACAATAGAAAAATATGCCCTAAAATAAGATCATTTAGATACGTTTCATCACTATGCTAAAATATAATTAAAAACTACTTGAAAATAAAAAATTAAGAAAATGCTTATATCTTGTTATGTAAAAATGATATATGTATAATATGATAAATACGTGATTGTGAGCAAACACCCATTAAAATATTAGCAGTTATTTCTGGAGTTACTTGTATTTTTTGATTTTCTACATATTGCAATGTAGACTGATTGTGTATCACTCTTATGCAACATTCCTCTGTCCCACCTTGCCCTCCCCAGCCTCACTTCCCTTTTCCAAGACAGCTTTTGATTTCGGTCCTTGTGGTTACCTCCACACTGAGCCCTAACCCTTGCTGTCATTCCACTAGCCAGGCACCACCTGACATTCATCTATTGACCATGCCCCAGCTATGAAAGATGAGGCTTTATCTCATTCACACCACTCTTGTCACTTTACCCTGCCCCCAGTTTTGCTAGTTATATAATACTAGTTCATCTATTCAATAATTCCGTAGCTTTAGATGGAACCGCTGACCACTCTCCCTCCACTCTATGTAGGTTATCAGCATTCCAGGCCTTCTGTGTACTCCTTTCCTTTATTTTTATTTATTGTATTTTAATTTTTATGTCATCAAGATTAGCACCTATATCCTGTCCTGTTCTCTAACCATGTTTAAGGCTATTCGTTGACTCCAACCGTTGTAGCTAATCAACGGTGTTTAAGACAAGTTTCCTTCCTCACTTGGAATGTCATCTTGTACAACCCTAAGAAAGATGTTTACTGGATCTAGACAAATGGATTATTTTTTGGTAGATCTTATCAATTACTCAAAATTGTGTAATAATTTCCTTTGTTTTACATTGGACCTAGGCTCTCCTGTCTATTCTTTCCCCTGGAGTTTCTAAGTGCCTTTCTCCTTTTTTTTTTTAAGAAGTAATATTTGTGTTCACTGTCATCAGTAAAAAATTTCATTTCTTTATTCTTATACTTTAGCTCGATTTTGCTTGGGACCCATTTTTCTTGACTTTCTGTTACAATCTACACAGAATGTTTACTAAACCTGCCGCATAGCTGTGTTTCTGGGACTTCTTCTCACTGGACCCATAGGTCACTTCCTTTGTTTATGATGTGCACTCACTTTCTTTGCCTTCTAGCCTCCAGGGTTGCTGATATTAATCTGATGCCAGTTTGGTTTTGGTTTCTGTTTTTGCATTCCAAAGCTTTTGAGATTAGTGATGAAGGGGTCCAGAATGTGCCATGGTGACATAAAAATGATCAAGAATTGAGTTCCTGAAATCTCTTACCTGCCAGATAGCACAGATCCCCTAAAGAACTCAACTGTCATAAATCCCCTCCCTGGGAGCCACCAGGAAGACTGAGTCTTATCACTGGAGATGAGAAGTCTCCACATCACATTTAAATAGAGTTGCCACAAAAGCTATCATATCTCCCTCCTATCTATTCTCTTAAGGGCCCATTTATCTTTCCAAAAAATCGTTTATCTTCTAAGTGTCCTTTCCCCTCTCATCCTCCCCTGTTAAGATGGTACACAAGCCTCAAAGTCTAACTGCCCCTCTGAGTTACATTTTTCTGTGAACTCCCTTCCATACGTGATTAAATCTGTCTTTTGCCAGTTTAATTTGCAGGCCCCCAAATACTAAATATAACAGGGTAGAGGAAGTTTTTCATCCCCAATATCTCTTTAGTCTTGGTATTCTTAAATCTCATCTTATAAAGCATCTGATTTGGCATTCAGTGGGCATTTTAATCTGAAAGCTTTTTTCTCTTTCACGCTGGGAAATTTTCTTATATCTTTGGTTTGATAATTCCCTCTATTTTCCATTTCAAAAAATTTTTCAGATTTCATATCTCTTAAGAACTGATCTATGTTTTTTCTCTATTTTCCATATATTTTTTTTGTTCAGGTCTTAGACTTCCTAGACTTTATCTTCCAACATTTCCACTAAATTTACTGTCAACCATTTAAAACTTTTAATAGTTATTTCTCATTCGTTTTTCTTTTCCATAACGTTCTATTATTATTTAAGTCTTTGTGAAGAGACTAATTAGAAATTTCCTCTCCCTTCTTCCTAAAGCTATTGTCTATTTTCTAAGTTATCTCTATCCCCAGGGTCAAGTACTCCACTTAGTCGGTCTTTCTCTTGATTGTCCATTTATATAAAACCTTCAGGGTCCAGGTTAAACTTTTTAGGTACATTTCCTCTGTTATTTTATATCTAGATCTATTTCTCTCCAAATTCCTCCCATGGATGGGGATATCCAGTTATCACGTTTGCTTTAGAGTAAGTAGGTGGGACCAGACTTTAGGTGGGCTGGGTGGCCCTCAAATGCCACTTAGGGGGATCTGGTCTCTCAGTTGCCTTTCTTGTCTTTAGGCAGTTTTATAAGTTCCAGAATCAGTGCCAGGCTGGTATTCTATGCAGTTCTTCTGTGGGCATACTCTTTTAACTGCCCCCTCCTATTTTTGCGTCCCCTGCTTTCACTCCCACTCTCTGGACCTCAAGACTTTAAGCATACTGATAATAGGGTTTTGCCTGGTTGATAGTCCCTCCTCTGCTACAGTTCTCTCCTACATTTATTTTGCATTGTGGTTTACTGCATTTAATTCCACTTGTCAATATGCTTCTCTCCATTTCCTAAAAGATTTTAAAAAACTCTGTACTCTGATGATGGTCTCTCTCTGGTTCTCCTTGCCATTATGGATTTAATTCCTGAATTTACTTCCTTACCATTATTTTAACAAGGCCTCAAGCAAAAAAAAAAAAAAAAAAGAGAGATACTTTTATGCTCACGCTGCCATCTTGAACTGAAAGCCAGTCAATGGGTAATTCCCTAAGCAAGTTATATTCCACTCACTCAGATGAAACTGTATAAGCTTTATGACTTTTTTTTGGTATGTGAGAACTCCTTATCCTAGTGACTTATAAATTCTATAACAATAATTGGCATAATTTGTTAAAGCTGATTTTTTTGTTACTCAAAAAGGTTTTACTCTGAAATCCTTAAGTTCTGTAAGAAAATACACAAAAGAGATTTTTTCTATGAACATAATGAATTCTTTAGATGTTCAATTTCAACGGATACAATGTGAACAGACGTTTTATATATATAACAAATCAGTTGACTTACCCAAGAAAATGTCGACAAGCATATTCATAGTAAATCTCCCACAAGGACCTACATGTTTTATATTTCTTGTTCCTTGTGATGAACTATGTTCTTGAACAAATCTTATAATGTTTTTTGTAACATCAGTCACATCTCGTGTCTTATAATCCTATAAATAAAAAGAGATTACCTTCCACTATAATTAAGATAATGATACCAAGATAGCTAAGGTTTAATTCTAACTGTAATATTAAACCATAATAAACTATTTTCAGACCAAAAACCAAGGAAGTTCCAGATGTTTATTATTCTTTTCTAAGTTCTTAAATTAGCCTTGTGTCTAGAACAATTAGCACTCTACTATATCTATTTTACTATGTCTCACACACATACATCTTGTCTTTCAATTATCTGATAGTACTGTAAAGAATATTCTTTAAAAAAAACAAAACAAGAACCTTCATACTTCCTTGAACAGTGCTCTGTCACTGAATACTGAATCCCAGGATGAAAAGCAAGCAAATTTATGAGTTCTAATCTCTTTTGGGCATTTGGTGTCACAGTCAATTCTTTTTATTATTTTCTGTCCGTTCCCTTTCTCATTCCCCTCAGGTGTCTCCAAACTCTGCCTATTTTCTAAAGCCCCCCATTACTATATGATCTCTCTGCTTTAATCTATCGTAGTTCTCTATGAACTAATATTAACCACCTGAAGTTCTCAAAAGCTGTATCACAATTTTGTCCTTCTAAATATGCAGTTAGTTCCTCCATCTTCTAATCCATTTTTCATCTGCTATATTCCAATAACTTGAAGACTAACGGGTTTCTTGTCTTACACAAATAATTAGTACTAATTCTGAGGTTCTATCTATAATCATCACGAAAGAGTGCCCTGTCACTCTCTCCATCATCCCTGCCTTACTTCTTGGTGACTTAGCACACAGAAATGATTCTTCTATATCTTGGCCTTCAGCATCTTAATCTCCTCTGCTGCAATGATCCTGTCTTCCACATACCTCGGCCACTCACTCCCATTGTCACACCCACTACCTTTGCCTAATTAATAATGGCAACCCTTCATTCTCTGACCACTACCTCCTACCTTTCCAATTCACACCATCTAGCATTTTCACTCCAACAATCCACTGGAATTGCCTATCCGCTGAACTTCATCCTTAGATGTTCTAACTCAGTTTGAATTCCACAGCCAATCATTACACTACTGCCTTTTATAAACCTTCAGCTGCCTTGCCCTTAGGTCACTTCATCACATTGTCTGACAAAACGCATTAGATGCAGTTCTCCACCATCCATGCCTGTACCTTCGTAGCTGAACATGGCTTGAGAAACACATACAACCAGGTTGATGGTTTGCACTTTTAATACATGGCCATAAACCTCAAGCAGACCCTTAATGCTACCAGGTAACCATCATACATCCTTAGTTTTTCATAAATCAAATTTTATTGGAACACAGCCATGGACAATTTATGCACTTATGTTTATGTCTGCTCTGGGGCTAAAACAGCAGAACTGAGTAGTAGTTATGGCAGGGATTACGATTCTAAGGCCCCAAAACTTAAAATATTTACTCTTTGGCCCTTTAAGATAAAGTCTGCTGATCCCTGTCCTAGATGACTGTGTCATACTTTCTTCTTTCTGTTCAGTCCCTTCTCTTATCCTGACTATCGGCTGACGACCTTGCTTCCTACTTCGCTGAGAAAACTGACGCAATCAGAATGAGAGATTTCACAAACTTGCTTCACTACACCTACCACCAGCATCTGCCCCGTATTTTCTCATCTTTCCTGTTATTAGAGATGAACTACCCAAGCAAGCCAATCTCTCTGCTTACATACTAGACCCCAAGCTCTTCGTCTGCTCAAGGACATTGCTTCGGCAATTCTCCCCTCTCCATACACATCAGTTTTTCATCCCCTGAAGGAACATTCCTATCTGCATACAAATGTTTATGTCTTTTCTTGACCCCACTTCTCTGTCAGCTACTGTTTCATTTCTCTGTTCATCCTTGAAGCATTCACTGTCTCCAATTTTTCTCTACTCTACTGAAACTGGTCAAGTCAAAGTCACCATGCTTTCTGCGGTACTAACTCCAGTGGTGAATTCTCTGTCCTTATTGTACTTGACTAAGCAGCAGCACTTGTCTAGTTAGCGCTCCCTCCTCCCTGAAACACTTAGTTTTCTTGGTTTTCCTTTGATCTCACTAGCTCTTTCTTGGTCTCCTTTCCTAGTTCTTTCTCTTTTCCTCAATCTCTTAATGTCTTTGGTTTTCTTCTGTCTAAACTTACACCCCTGGAGATTTCATCTACTCTCATGGCTTTAATTACCATCTATAAGCTAACCACTCCCAAATGTATAACCACCAGCCTCTTTTCAGAATTCCTGGATCCAAGAGACACAATAACTCAATATGAACATCCCTGCCAGACAGCCTTCCCTAAACATTTCGGCTGAGGGTCACTCCTTTCTTCCAGTTACGGAGCCCTCCAGCTACTGCTCTGGTCTGCCATTACCTTTTCTCTAACTCGTTGTTCAGCTACAGTCTCCCTTACTATACCTCAAATAGGCATGCCCCCCCATCCCTACCTCAGCACCTTTGTTCTTGGCTTCAGCCAAGAATGCCCATATCCAGAGAGCTGCTCAGCTAACTTCCTTCTTCAAGGTTTTGCTCAGACATCGCCTTTACAATAAGACTTCCTTGGACGACGTTATCTAATATCGCATTCCACATTCCATCCATTAGCCCTGACTCCTTGCACTGCTGTCCTTTTCACCACAGTTCTTACCTCTTAACATGTGCTTATTATGTATATTATTTGTACTCAGCCTCCCTCTGCTAGATGTAAGCTCTTTAAGGGCAGAGATCTTTATGTTTTGTTCAGTGATGTATCCCAAACTCCTAGAACAGTGCCTGTCATAAAGCAGTCACTCGATAAATACTTACTGAATGAAGGACCTGATTAGCAATGTCTGCAGAGTGAGGTACAGTGAGTGGAGATGGCCATGAGTCCGCAGATTCCATCCCGAGAGAGTAAGTCACAGTCACCTTTGCTCTGGCTAGTGCTATGTATCTTTGTAACTACACTGACCACATTGTATGATGATATTAATACATATATGTAACTCCCCTCCAGTCTATGAATTTGCCCACACCTCGTTCATTTGTGAATGCCCAGCACCCTACACAAACATTTCAAGTAATATATCAAGTGTGAAACTGGAAAGTACAGTAGACATTTAAACAAAGAATTATCATAATAGGTACAATAAAGTGTCCAATAATTAAATTTAACTACCTCTCAAGGTTTTTTTAGAACATCAGATAGCAAACTCATACAGAAGCTATTGCCATTATTCTTTCGTTTTTTAAAAACCAATTTATAGAGTAATCTAATTGATCTGAATCCAAACACACTGTACATCAGTTAGTTATTTTACTTCTTTTGAGAATGAGGTCTTTCAGTACAGATTAGAGTTGAACTAAAAATATTCTATCTGCCCATGTTGGATTTTTTGAATATTTACAGATTAACGATATTTCTAAAATCCCATAACCATCAGTGTATATATACAACCTAAGTATTTTGGATAGATCCAGTATATTTTTTATGGGCTTCTAATTCTAAAGATATTCCACAGAATATTAAAATGTTTCTATCCTAAACTACTATAGAGACTGATCTCAGAAGCTAAGCAGGGTCGGGCCTGGTTAGTACTTGGATGGGATACCACCTAGGAATACCAGGTGCTGTGGGTGTTTAAAAAAAAAATTGAGCAATAAACTACTATAGGGAGGAAGCCTTCTTTCCCTTGTCTAATCCCTTGAGGGCTACTACTGTCATTTAACTTTTGTAAATTAAGAGAATAAAAAATCTTGGCAATTTCCTTACAAAGAATTTAAAACTTTCTTATTTTACCTTTGTTTTACAGCAATTATCACAAGAAACATCTGGGTATTTCTTACAAAAATCAGGATTAAATCCAATTTCCCCAAAGTAAGCCAAAAGTTGTATTCTCCTGCATTCTGTTATATTTTCACAGTAATGTACCATACTATACAAATTATTGAAGTGAGTCTCTTTCGTATGATGGTTTCCATCTTTTTCCACTAAAAGAGATGAAGAACATAGCAAAATATACTTATAAGAGCAGAAAAATAGAAGAGACTATCACAGAAAGATTTAGAATAGATTCATATAGCTTTAAATATTAAATGAAATAAAATTAATAGCATATGTATCAACGTGACTTCATTCTGTATTATAATTAACTGAATATTTATGTTCATCCCTCAAAATTTTGGCTTTATAGGTATAAATGTACATTGTCAGGAGTACATGAAATTTTTTTTTGTAAATTTTCGTTATTCCCAATGATGATTTGCATTATGTTTACTATATTTATCAGACAAGCATGTGCTCAACAGCCAAAGAAAGCAGAGCATGGAACTAATTAGTGAGCCACGCACCTCCCTGAGTATTTGGGGTCACAGTGATTAAGGCAGTGGTTCTCAAACTGTGTGCCAAGGAGCCCAGGGTGCTGCAGTGAACTCACAGGGCACTAGCAGGGTATTTCATATTTTCAGGAGACACAGCAATACCTGACATCTGTTGAGCATCACACAATCTACTAATTTGAGCTAGTTCTTGGTGTGCTACATTCCTTTCAATGACATCTTTGTGAAGCTGAATTTTTGGCAATTCTTGAAAAAAACAAGTACCTCCAGAGAATCAATGAGAAGCAGAGAATAAATGAGGGTGGTGGTATCCAATCTGATTCCAAGTTTTGAGAATGACATGTACATACTTTCCATTTGTAAACAATTGTGGTTAGTTAAGAATAAAATTTAAAAAATTTTTCTCCTAGTTATGAGTTATATTTTCCAAATGGCTGCTAAGCGTTTAGGACTTTCATACTTATTAAAATGTTTGGACCTAACTTGATATAGGTTCTGCTTAAAAACACAAATGGACACACTAGGTTTAAGTTTCATTTTTTCACTGAGAATCATCTTGGTACAGTGCAGGGGACATGGACTCTGGAATCTGAAGAAGCTGGGTTCCATCAGGCTCTGCCACTTACCAGCTATGTATTTCATTTTCCTTCTCTGTAAAATGAGTGATAGTAGCATCTTTTAGTTGTGAAGATTAAATGATATGACATATGTAAAGTACTTAAGACAGTAGCACATGGTAAGTGCTAGAGAAATGCTATCTCTAAATAGCACTACCATTCCACCTACCACTGCTGCTGTTGCCACCACACTGGTGCTGTCGGGGGCAAGTTACAAAACCTTTCTGAAGCTCACTTTCTCATGGGACTAACTCTATCTCAAAAGCCAGTGGTTACGAGCAGATAAGGTGATACATTATTTGGCACAGGGCTTGGTAAGTGCCATTTCCCAGGCTCAGTATCTCTACCAGAGTTCTTTCAAAAGTGGTCTCAAAATAGGCACATATATTTAGGAAATGTACTTAACTATCACGACCCAGTAGAAAAATGGGAAAGGACATAATAAAACTCTAAAATATGTATTCACTTTGACCCAGCAAGTCTAACTTTAGAAATTTATCCTATATAATTGCACAAATGCCCAAAGATATCTGTACAAGGATATTTAATACTGCACTATTTTTTGATAACAGTGAAAAACAATAAACAATCTAAGTATCTATTAAAAGGGATTTGGTTAAATAAATACGAATAACCATACAATGGAATTCTATGTAGTCAAGCTATGCTTATTAATTGGAGTCATAATTATACTAGTGTTGACTGAAAAAAATCAGGTCACTATGTATATAAAAAAGCACATATAACATAATCCTATTTACATTGTAAAATACATACATTTGGTAAAGGTAAACACCAAATACAAGATATTGCTTATCTCTAATCGGCGGGTAGAGAGATGATATAGCAGAGGGAAATGTAGAAGCTTTTATTTCTTAACTTGGATGGTGGCCTGTGAGAGTTCATTATTTTTCCCATTTTACCTTTCTGCATGTTTGAAAAATGCGTTATATGTAAGGATACATGTAGAAACTAGGTCTGGAAAGACAGAAAGGCAACAAATAACTGGAGTTATTTCTTAGGGCAGGAGTGTATTCAAAACATGGTTTGGAAATCTTGTCTGATACATGTCTATCATTTGAGGTTTATATAACAAGCATGTAATACTTTTATCATAAAAATGACTAAAATAAAACCTCTATTTTTCTATGACTATTTAAGGAAAAGTGGACCTAAATTACCACAACAGCAGGAGTAGATTACTATTATCATGAGACTGAAGAGGACTTACTCAGTATAAGTCTCTTCAGTCTGGTCACATCATAATAGGTATAGAAAAGCAGACAGTGAGATACTTCCCCATCTCGTCCTGCTCTGCCAGATTCTTGGTAGTAGCCCTCCACAGATTTAGGGAGAGATGCGTGGATCACAAAACGCACATCGGGTTTGTCAATCCCCATTCCAAATGCAACTGTTGCACAGATAACCTGGTGTAAGAGCAAAAGCTTATTAGACTCATAATGCACTTAAAGAAACATTTTAATAACAGATGCTTCTAAAAGCTTTATCTTCTGTTTTACTTTCAAATGTACTCTATACAACAATCTAATATCTTAACTTGGTTCTATTATTTATCATGACTAATATGAGATTTTCATATTGACAATTTGTAGTTCTACTAAGACCCAAGACGGTAAAGAGAAGCTTGGTATGGCAGGCAGGCACTTTCTTGTGTGAGTTGGTATTATCACATAAGGGAGCTACAATCAATAGCAGTCACCTCTTGGTGACTGTTCTCTTATGGTTTTGACATGGAGGTGCGAGGGGCATTGCTCACAGAGCCAGGATATCCCGGCCAGTGATCAGGAACGTGTTGCTCGGGAGCTCAGGGCCTGAGCTTTCAGAGATCACTGCTGCTAGCTTTTTCAGTGATTCAGGAATAATGGCATTCTCACATGTTCCAGTGTTTACCATCCATTTTCCTAGTGGCAACAGCTGATCATATACCAGCTCCTTTTATTCATCAGCTTATTTCAAAGTCAAAATGTAAAATTTTTATTGGAACTCTGAGGGTTGCTTATTCTAAGAAAAAAAAGGCCGGGGATCATCGATCTTGGCCTATGCAAATTACTAAGTGCAAGCAAGGTGATAGTTAAATTTCAGGAGCTTGATAAATCAGTATTTAGTAAAAAAATAATTTTCAAGAATATCCATTTCAGTTGCAAATTTAGGACCTATTTAACCCAGACAAAAACATTATATCTCTAGGCAAAATTATATTATATAAATAAAGCTGTAAGCCTTTTTTTAGTACTTAAATAAATGAATCGCTACTGCAAGAACAGTATTTCAAAAGCAACTGAACTATCTGGCAGCCAGACTGAGGCTAATGACATGATTTCAGTGACTGCGAGTACCAGAGAAAGGAACTGCAAGCTATGGAGCATGTGGATGGCAAATGGGTACATTTATCAACGCTGGAATGGCAGCAGCCTGCACTCTAGGTTAGTCATCCATCTAAATTTACAGTGCTTTGATCAAAGACAAAGCTCCCTAGAAAGAGGAAGTCTACAGAAGCCTCTAATGGTGGAGAGCAGGTGGAGAGGCTGTGGGGAGAGATGTCCCAGCCATGCCTGCACGGTGGGCCCACAGGGTTCCAAGAAGCCCAGGTGCATCTCTCCAGGCTGGGTGGGCACATGGCTCAAGGCCACTGAAGATGCCAACTCTCTTTGAAGTCCTTATTTCTTGTAATGGGGAAAACTGGCTTTGTTCGATTGTTACTTCCTTCTTTATTTCTGTGTTGCTTTTAAAACTTCAGGCTACAATCATTTCTTTGTAAAGAAAAACCACCAAGTTTTATTCTATTTCACAAATCTATCTAGGCTGTCCAGTTAGATTAGCTGGTCTAAGAGCAGAAACAATTAGATGAAAAAAAAAAAAAGAAAACCCTCACCAATTTTTAAAACCATAGTTTTGATCAGTATTTTTTTATATATAAAAATATGTATATATATGCACGTATACTGTAGACTACACTATGTACAAAGATTTTAAAAACTTGAAAAAATTGGCTTCTTTACTTGTCTATTTTTCTATTCAATTCTATTTTATGATTGAGATCACATACTTTTAAATTCTATTTTTCATTACCTTTCTCCATCAGTAACAGTGAACATTTTCATATCATTAAAAATTCTTCATAAACCATTTTTAATGGCAGGAATGTAGTACCATAATGTGCACAATCATTCTCTCAGGACTTTTAGACTATTCAGTAGTAAATAGCTATTAGGGTATTCACTATTAAAGATAACACTGATACAAATTCCATGCCCACATTTCAGACTTGAAGCTCCTGATAGAGTCTACCATACTGTTTTTCAGAAAGGTTGTCATGAGTACTATAGGAATCAGCCTCTTACATTATTCCCAACAGTTAGTAAAAGTTTGCTAATATGAGAGGTGAAAATGATCTCCTGTTTTAAATTTGAATTCTTTTAATAGCAAAGTTGCTCTGTAAAATAAACTTGAATTTGGCCTTTTGTAGTTCTTCCTATCCAATAGTCTCTCAATAGCCTAGGGTAATTTATTATTTAAGACTCATGTTTTCCATATCAAAATGTTTTATTTGCTGATGATACATTGCCCAGTATGCTGTTATCTTTAATTTTATCGATATAAAAGTGTTGAGTTCTTTAGGTTTTTAATCATTTCTAGTGATTACTTCCTTTTGGGCTGTTTTTAAGCTTACGTTCTCTTTCACACATTTTTTTTAATCTAATTGTTTTTTTAGCTTTGTAAATTAAAGTGCTAAACTATCAAGTTTTCCCCCATGTAAGTTTTCCCCCAGTGGTTTGTCTTTTAAATTTATTACATATTTATTATATATTTGTAATACATTTGACTACTGTATTTATTTCAACTACCCTGATTTTTTTCTTGGGTACACTTATTATTCTTAGGCTAAACTCTTATTCCCTGTCACCAACAAATAAATTTGTTTTTTCTCCTCTTCAATTTTCATCTGTTTTTCTTCCCCTTCACATTCTCAAGTTATTTAATACATCGTTGATTCAAATGACTGCACTGAGTCAGACCATTTGTGTTTTGATATATAATTCTATTTGTTTTGCTTTTCTTCCATTTTCTTATCTGCATTTTTATCTCTCCCTTCATTGTAGCCTGTGATCTTCTTATGGCAAACTGTTTCTACTTCATATAAGTCTCTTCACATCTTTCTGAGAGTACTAGACTGATATCCTGTAAGATTTTCATCTGTTTTCCCTTAGAAAACAATTTTGAGAGATATTTTTCCTCTATATCTTCAGGGTAATGATTTTTGTGTGCATTATGAGAGCTAAAAACTTCATAAGCTACAAAAAAAAAATCATTAGTCCTTTTCCTCAAATTCATCCTTGAACAGATATAATAAAAAAACAGACAATAATAAGTGTAGACAAGGAGGCAGAGACAATGGAACCTCATGCATTGCTGGTGGGAATGTCAAATTCTATAGATGCTTTGGAAAAGTTTGACAATTCCTCAAAAAGTTAAACATATGAGTAAGCAATTCCACCCTAGGTGTATACCCAAGAGAATTGAAAACACGTTTACACAAAAACTTTCACATGAACGTTCAATAGCCAAAAAAGTAGATATAACCCGGATGTCTACCAACTGATGAATGGAGAGAGCAGACAGGGTATATCCATACAATGGAATATTATCCAGCCACAAAAAGGAAATGAAGTACTGATACATGCTACAACATGGATAAATCTTGAAAACATTATGATAAGTAAAAGAAATCAGTCACAAAAGAACAGACGGTACGATTCCATTTACATGAAATGTTCAGAATAGGAAAATCTAGAGAGACAGATTAGTGGTGGCTAGTAGCTTAGTAGTTGCCAGGAAATGGGGGATTAGAAACTGACTGCTAATGGGTATGGGGTTTCTTTTAAAGATGATCAATGATCCTAGAATTAGTGGTGATGGTTGCATAAACTTGTGACTATGTGAAAAATCAATGACTTGCAAACTTTGAAAAGGTGAATTTATGATATGTAAATTACATCTCAATAAAAAACTTTTTTTTATTTAAGAAAGAAAGAGCAACTTTAGAAATCTTAAAAAGCATGTTTTTCAATTTGTTTTATTTTGAGGTTTACTATAAAAGGTAAAAAAACAATTTTCATTTTACATGTGCAAGTTTGCTTAGATACTATAAAATAATTATTTCTTTGTTCGTCTTAAAAATGTTACCTGGCAGCCATCCTGATTGATCCACTTGTGCTGTACTTCATCTCTGGCAGAATCACTGAGGCCAGCATGATAAGCAAGAGCAGCAAGACCATTCTTCTGTAAGGTGTCAGCCATTGTGTCACATTCTCGCCTGGAGAGGCAGTAAATTATCCCTGAATCATCTGCCAAGAAATGAGGACTTGTAACATAAATAGCAACCCATTTACATTATGTTCTTAGAAATACATGAACCATAAACAGACCTCCACGGTTTTCTTGTAGTAGAGGAAAATCACATAGGTAGAGTAATTCAAGCAAGGAACTTGTGTACACTGGAAATGACAAGATCTGACCTTTAATCTTGTCCCTCTGAATGACTCCTGAGGTGGACTGGGACAAACCCTGGCTAGGAAACAGGAAGGCACCTTTACATAAACTTTGTGGAAAGCATGTAGTAATATACATCAGGAACCCTAGAAATGCTTCTGCTTTGGTTCAGTTTCCTTCTACAAAAAACCAATGTAGAAAATAAAGCGATATAAGGACTTGTGCAAAAAGTTTTTTTGTAATTTTAAAAATTAGAAAAAATTTAATGGTCAATATTAGAGGAATAATTAAGATATGAAATTATGAAATGAAATATAGTATAACTATCAAGTGTTTTCTAAGTTTTAATAAGACATGGGAAAATGCTCAAGATATAAAACAGGTTAAGGACAGAAACACGGTAGGTATAGTATGCTAATGCAGAAAGAAAAATGCATACAAAAATTATTAGAAGGAAGTAAGCAAAGTAATAACAGGGACTTGTGCTAAGGTTTATCTTTTGCTTCTTTTTTCTTTTTGATGCTTTCTAAATTTTCTTCAAAGAGTATTTATTATATTCATTGTTTTTATGTATGTTATTTTTTAAATCAGAAAATAAAAGGTATTAAAGAAAAAGTCATCACTCTGTAGCAGAGTCAAAGATATATATACACACACTAAGCTATTTGCTATTTGTATCGGCTGCCTGGGACGGGGCCTAGAGAGGGGTATGACTGCCTTTTCCCTGGTCTACTTCTGCATTATCTGATTTGTTCAAGCAAATGTGTATACCGATTTTTAAAAAATGAAATAAAGATGTTTAACAAAAAAAATTCTCCATGGAAAAGTGGAAAAGGGGTTACATGGAAAACTACCACGAATTTTATAATCTCATTTTAGTTAATATAACTTGAAGACAGATGCACCTGGGAGAAGGCACTAAAACAAAGACCTGTGTAATTCGTACACTGATGGAAGCCAGAACAAAGACACTGAAAACACAAATTATAATATAGGGATATAAAAGGGAGTATGCTAATATGTTTTTTATTAGGATTTATTATTATCAAACCAAATGAGATTTTACAATTTCCAGAATTGAGAGAGTTGTAATATTCTGCTCTCTAAATAGTCAGTGCTAGCATAATAAGGAATGTTTAATATGCAATATTATATATTCTATTGTGGTACTAAAAAGACATTTATTATTTCTAGACATAATTCATCACATGGCTGTACTCACGTGGGTGATGCTTTCTGATCCATTCTAAACAATCAAATGCCACCTTTTTAGGTTTTTTTGGTAACACATAGTATTTCAGATTATGTCTGTTAAAGCTCATGGTAAACCTAAAAAAAGTCCCAAACATAAAATTTTATTAGGGAAAATGTAGTTTTAGCCACCTTCAAAAATTAAATACTGATTTTTTGCAGTGCAAACCTATATCAGGTTGCGTTAAATTTAATACTGTCACTGGCAGTTTACATAATAGAACAATAAAATGGAAGTTAGGTTATGGGTTAATGAAAAGAACGGTGACAAACAGAGAATGTCTACGGGACTAGTTGACAAAGAACTGGAAGACCTATAGAAGAGAACAACATGCAGAAAAGACAGGTAAGTCAGGAGCTTAGTCTCCGAGATAAGGTCGATTAAAAGCGGAGATGGCTAAAACATTATTTAAAAGATTAAGAAAATCACAAGAAAAAATGTATACATTTTTAAGCCACCAATATTCCCAAATTTTGACTGTGTACATGAACAGCCATTTGCAGGGCAGCCATATGAGCTAAAGCCCTACAGAGCATGGAGCACTGTACTTCGGCTCTGCACCCCAAAGACAACGTGGGTGATGCTGAGACAGATACATTCCTCTCCCTCTGGTCTTTGGCCCTTGGTATCCCACCTCCTCTCCCACTTCCTCAGGGAGCTCTTCCTCTCCATTATCTCCTCTCCTGCAAATTCTTCCCTTTCATCTCTGAATATGTGCTAAGACCACCAATCCTAACAACAGAGGCTTCTCTTGACCCTATGCTCCACTGTAGCTGGCAGCCCACCTCTTTCTTTCCCCGCAATGGCAAGTTTCTCAGAAGACATTTATGTCCCCAACCAACTAACTATACATCCATTTTCATTCTCGTCACTCCCATTCTGGATTTTCCCATCATCATTCTACCAAAATTGTTTTATGAAAGCTTTTAAAACTAAAGAAAGGTAAGGGAATTGTTACAAAGTCTTTGGCCCTGCAGGGACCTTCCACTGCCACAGGTCCCAACATCTCCACAGGAAGGAGAGAGAACACTGCAGAACAAGGCAGTGTTAGAGCATAAAGATCGCTCAGTGCCTGGGTGGACAGAAAGAAGCAGAGACCACAAACTACAACAGCTTTGGTGAGGCGGCTAATGTTACAGGGGATGGGGCTCAGGAGGAAAGGCGGGGAATAAAAACCACTGGCTTTCTGTCTTTGTGTCTAAATCCAAACTAGATGGGTTTGACTTTTGTTGTCATTGGTAGGAAAAACTTTAGTTTTAGAACTAAAGAATGCCTCACATGTGGAGGGCAGCCACGTTCCTGAAGGGCCTCTGTACAGGTGAGAGGGTCACACAGGAGGCAGTGGTAACCTTCCACCTGTGTCTGGCCTTCACATTGGTTTTTCAGATCTCATCTTCGCTGACCTTTCAGTCACTCCACACTGTTGGCTGTCCTTACCGAAAACCTCTATTAGCTCTCACTATTTTACATTCCCTTTACCTCTGATTTCTTCATCTTCTCTTCTTCCTTTGCTTACTTCTTAAGTGACAATGAGCCCCCAAATGCTAGGCCCTCCTCTTCTTCCCCCACATTATCTTCTTCAGGGACACCATTCTCTCTGCTTTAAACAGCACCCGAATACCATTCCCATGGGTCCCAACTTTTGCCCCCAGCTTAGACCCTTTTTTCTTAGACCTCTGATTTCTAAACCACAGTCTAACTTCTTTTTTGATCGGTGGTCTAAAATTGGGGTATGCATACCCATAAAGGCTCACAAAGACTTTCTGAAGGCACATGAGTAAGCATAATTTTAAAGGAATCGATTTCCAGATCCTGCATCTTCACGTGTGCTTTTTCCGGAAAGACTGATGTGAGGATGCTCCTGCAGTCAAGACATCCTGCTGGTTACTCTTGCCCCTCCGTGTTCTTTTCACAATTGTCCTCTCACTTTCTAAAAACAAATAAACTCTGCTTTTGACCCATTCTGAACTTTACTACTATGCACTGTTCCGGATGTAAAAACCTCCAGAACACCAAACAAAACAAACTGAATATAGTACAGTTGTAGGCGAAAATTTCTTTAATCAAAGAACCAGAAACTCTTGGTGGGGCTTCATGTCTTTACAAATTTCTGTTAGGAGTAAAGTGTAACATCAGGTATGAAGTATTTCAGCCTTTTTTGCGATGTTCTGATTTCAGATATACTAAGGTGCAGTCTTGATAAAATTATGGCATAAAAAGAATTGTTCAAGAATACAAATGACATAGATCAGTGGTCCCCAACCTTTTTGACACCAGGGACTGGTGCTCCTTTGAGAATCTAATGTCTGACAATCTGAGGGTGGAGCGGAGGCAGTGATGCTAGCTCTGGGGAGTGGCTGCAAATACAGATGAAGCTTGGCTCTCCTGCCCACCGCTCACCTCCTGCTATGCGGCCCAGTTCCTAACAGTCCACGGCCCAGGGTTTGGGGACCCTTGATGTAGATAATCTCAAAAGTTACTTGAGTTGATTTAGACTTAAGTTGGGATTGGTGTATAAGTCTCCCGACCGACAGAAATGCTGCAATGACTGCACAAAAATGGCCTTATTATTTTTTCCTGCATTTTATACTTTAATTTCAGAATGTTTCATGCATTAAAAAAAAAAAAAAAAAAAAAAAAGCTCTGGGTCAAAAAAGAGAGACAATAGCAAGTGCTTGTGGAAGGAGAACCCAATACACTGCTGGTGGAAATGTAAAATGGTGCAGTCACTTTGGAAAACAGCCTAGCAGTTCTTCCAAGGGTTAAGTACAGTTACCATATGACTAACAATTCTACCCCTGGGTATACACCCAAGAGAAATGCTCAAATCCAGTTATAACCAAAACAAATACCTCTTTTGCAAAAGGACTGCTAAGCTCCTAACTAAAAGCAGTATTCCCACAATTTGTCAAAATAAAAAAGGTAAGTCTCTCAGAGTTCATTACATAGAACAAATCTTCCTTGGCCTGTTGGAAAGTGGGATATTTGGAATTACTAAATATTCTAGTTAGAGATAGTTCCCATCAACTGATGCATAGATAAATGAAATGTGGAATATCCATACAGTGGAAGATTACTCGGCCATAAAAATGAATGAAGCACTGACACATGCTACAACACGGATGACCCTCGAAAACATTATTCTAAGTGAAAGAAGATGGGCACGAACAAGAGGTGGAGGGTGGGGAGTGACTGCTAGTGAGCACCAGGTTTCTTCTGGGGTGACGAAAAAGTTCTAAACTTAGATTTAGGGGATGATTGTACAACTCTGAAAACATAAAATCCCTCACTAAATTCTAACTTTTAAATGGGTAAATTTTATGGTGGGTCAATTATATCTCAACAATGATTTTATTTTTTTTTTAAAAAGTTTGGGATTCCATTATATCCTCACTAAGGGCGTACTCATGTTGCCCTTAAAATGGAAAATATTATTAGGTCTAGGGTGTCAAACACACATCATTTTAAGTGATGTGTCAGGAAATGGAATCAATTTGTGCTCCACTCTTATTGCTTTTGGAACTCAAAAACTTTTGTCACAAGGATATGTACTAGTTTATGTAAATTAAAAAACAATTAATTTTCTTTTTTATATATAAGAAAATAAGTCTAATTTGGCCAATTGGTTTGGCAATGAAAAATAGATTTGCCAATAGGTTTCATGGCAGTCATATCCAATTATTTGAAAGAAGTAATCAGCAGCTATGACATTTTGAGAAAATTATTATTTAAAAGCATATTATATAATAATAATATATGTCAAAAATATATTAGGAAAGGTGTACTAAAACTTACAGTATTTTGATTTTCCCAACTCTTCCAAATATAATGGATACAAGGTTCATTTAAGTGAAAGAGTAACAAGAAAATTTAATGGTCATTGGATAGGTCTTGGTAAAACATATTTTAGGGTGTATTTCCCAGAAAAAGTAAAGTGAGTAACTAATGATCTGATTTATTTTGCCAGTCAGATGGTTTACTATTCTTTGCTGTCCACAAAATTTACAGTTGTCAGCTGAAATATTAAAAATAATTTTTGATGACAGATCATTATGTAATTCTGGCATATACATCAGAAGGAATTCAACTAATTGAGTGTTATTACTACAAAAAAATGTTTTCCATTCCCATCTGTATTTTTATGTGAGTAATGTTTCCCAATGCTTATATCTATAAAAGTAAGAGATGTGAACTGATTGGATTCATCCAGAGATATATGATGTAACTGAAAAAAAGTCCTCTCTCATTGAGTTATACATTACCAATCAAAACTTATTTAAAAAATATATTTAAGCTATTCTGATCAGTAATGTACTAATAATTATAATATAATAATTCAATCCAGAAGAAAATTTTGGCATAAGCAAAATTAAAAAACAATTCTTAATTTACATACTTATTTTTCTTGCAGGTAAGTATGATACAGTAAGCAACAAGACTTCATGCATTAAATTATATTATCTTAGGGTAAAATTCTGTGTGGAAACTGAAGAAGATATATGAGTTAAAAAATGTAAAACATCTGTTAAAGAGTTAAAAAATGTGAATATGTTTTGCAAGTGAGTGATAAGTACAGAATTGCTATTATATACTAATATTCTACTGGATACATTTAAAAAGACTAGGTAACAATTTTGTTTAAAAATGTTACAACAGACCATGTTCTCTTTATTTAAACTCATGTTGACAATTTTTAGGTGTCAGACTTACCTGTACAGTGGTACAGTTTTCCAAAATTCTTTACGTGGCACATGTGACCAAAGAAAGTATGAAGGTTACGGTCTTGGCCATTTGCACTCAGCCCTTAAACATCCCAAACACCAAAACCTACGATCAGATTAATTATCATCCCCTCCCCTACCTTTCTCCCCTCCTGCATTTACACTTAATGCTACACTAGAAACCTACACTAGAAACCAGTATAAACTTCCACTATGTCCATCTTTCTCATCCCATCACTTGCCAGCCTTGTTGATTCAGCTCTGCTTTCTCTCCTGGCTGTCCCTTCCTTCCTCTTCTACTATTGCCACCATCATCATCTCTCTCCTAAATGGCTGCAATAAGTTTCCTAAAGAGCTATCCTGCCTCTAATCTCTTGTTTTTCTACTTCATCTTCCACTATCAGGGTTATCATTCTATCATACAGGTTAGATCAAGTCACTTCCCAGGTCAAAATACCTACAGAATAAATCCATCATGATATGCCCTCTAGACCTGGCCTCAAGCCACCTTTCTACGGTCATCCCTTCTCATTATTTTGCCACTTAACTTATGGATTATTCACCATTCCTTGGCCCTGACCTGTATTTTCATGCTAGAAGCTTCAGCCCTTAATTCACTCCTCACCCGCTAAAATGCCATTTATTTACCACTTCATATCCACTAGGATGAGTATAATCAAAAAGACATACAGTAACAAGTGTCAGTAGGGATGCAGAGGAATTGCAACCCTCCTACACTACTGAAGAAAACATGAAATGGCACAGCTGCTTTGGAAAACGATCTGGCAGTTCTTCCAAAAGTTAAATGTAGTTACCTCATGACCCAACAATTTTACCTCTAGGTATATGTCCAAGAGAAATGAAAATATATGTCCAACATGACAACTTGTATACAAAGGCTCATAGCAGCATAAATCATAATAGCCAAAAAACGGAAACAACTCAAATATCCATCACATGATAAATGGATAAATAAAATGTAGAGTATCCATACAATGGAATATTATTTGTCAATAAAAAAAGAATGAAGTACTGATATATACTTCTTCATGAATGAAGCTCAAAAACATGCTAAGTAAGTGAAAGAGGCCAATCATGAAAACCACATAGTACACGATTCTATTTATATAAAATGTCCAGGGTGGGCAAAAATATAGAGACAGAAAGTAGATTAGAGGTTCCCTAGAGCTGGGAGGATGGAGGATAGTGGGAACTGACTGCTAATGGATTTGAAGTTTCTTTTAAGAGACAAAAATGTTCTAAAATTAGGTAGTGGTGGGATTACACAACCTTGTGAATAAACAAACAAAAAAATCATAGGATGGTATATTTTTTAGGAACAAATTGTATCTCAATACAGATGTTTAAAATTTAGAAAAGACCGCTCATCCTACAAAGCCCGCTTCCTTTATAAAACCCTGTCTGACTCCTCCTCATTAACAGTTAGTTGTTACTTTGGGTTATAGCTAATCCTGTCTTGCTGAGTTCCTGCACTCATAATTTATATCTCTAATCACCACTGACTTCATTCTGCAATTTGTTGTAGAGTTTAAAGGGTTCTGAAATCAGACTGTTTAGGTTTAAGGCCTCACTCCAACATCTGCTAGGTATATGACCTTATGGAAGTTATTTAACTTCTCTGTGCCTCAGTTTCCTCATCCATAAAATGAGAAAACCAGAAGAATCTACCTTGTAAGACTTTTGTGTGGATAAGTTAATACACACAAAATGTCAAGAATCGTGTCCAGCACGTTGTATAGGCTAAATATAAGTGTTAACTGTTATTATTTTTGTATTAAAGTATTACTATTAACTGTCTACATGTCTATGGCTTTTCTCTTTCTCAGTTCATATCTTAAGGCCCTAAGGAAAAGGAATAAAGTCTATTTTATTATCCAACCTTGTATTTCCCAAGGAGGAAGAATAATAGCAGTATCAAAGGAGCATGGGGACCATGGCTCTACCTGTATGGATACCTGCCTTCACCAGGCCATGACACAGTAGCAGTTGGGCAAATTTAATCCAAAAAGGGTTTACTGGCAGAAAAGATCAGGGAAAAATGTACCAGAAAGTGTTCATTAAAATCTTTTACTTCCACTCAGGGCTTTAAACCTTCCCAAATATAGAAGTACCAAATATATTAAAGAATCAACAGACTTGCCTAAATTTTCATATTTTACCCACATTTACCAAAATTCCTCCATATGTTTCATTTATTCATTCTTACTGAAAGCCAATTATGCACAGGGCACCACATGCTAGACTCAGGAAATGTATAAGCTATTGCTTTTCCAAGCAGATCTCCTCACCCTACTAGGAAAAGATATTAAAGGTGTCTGCCTCTAAATATGTATGCGCAATGTTTACTCAAACACCAATGATAAATTCTATACCTACAAAGAGTTACTAAAAAGGTGAATTGAACTTACATCAATTCCTTTAACTAAGGGCATTGGCAAATTAATTTTACTGACCTAAAAGAACAGTAGATTGCCTCTGACCTAAATTGATGGAAAAAACCTAAAAACATTGCCTATTAAAAAAGAAAGGCTTTCAGAGATCAATGTAGTATTTGTAGAAGTAAATTTCTAGCATACAGGTTATTCACTAAAACCTAAACTATGACACCTTAAATATGTTTATCAATTACGAAGCAAAATATATTTTCCCCCCAAATTTTATACAAATGCCACTCTGCAGGTGAGATTAAATTTAAATATTTTTTAATTTTGTGATCACACACACAAAATTTTGAGGGCTCTAAAATTCTTGCACTCAAGAACGCCAGTTGTGTCGGAAAAGGTCTTTGTAGCTACCTTAATTTCATGACCCCTTCATATCCTTCATATGGCATTTCCAGTTCTCATAACCCTCAGAGATGCTGTTACTGTTTTTACTTACTACAATATTTATAGAGCCAGCTTACAATCTTTAATTGTAAATGAATGAAAGGTGTGCTTTAAAAATTCACCCCAATATTTTAGTCATTATTCCTTCAGACATTCATCAAACTCTAAACACCCACTAACAAACTGGAAGGAAAAAGTATTTTAACCTTGGTACACAACAGCCATTAAGTAAACATTGCCTTAATGGAATGAACCTATCAGAGAATGCACTTGTGTCTAACAAACTCATGTACAGGTATAAAATAATCCAGTACAACCTATAAATGTGTGGATATTTTTTCTGTTGTAGTTTTTGTTATTGAATAATTGTGGCTTTGGTGGCAAGAAGGAGCCCTTTGCTGTTATACATAGTTTCTGGACTGTTTTCAACATCCTGGATGTAACTGGAATTTCAGGGGAAAATGACCAAACAGGGCCATTGGTTCATTTCATGATGTATATATACTCTAGGACATACGAGGGTCAAAATTAGATAAATAAAAGCTAATTTATTACTGGGACTATGTCACATCTAACAGAGACAGCATGCACTTTTTTCCTCCTTACAAAATAGGTACTGGGAGTGAGTTTTCATTCCAGTAAGTGAAGAAAGCCCCAGGGCCCCAGTTCCCAAATTTTGCTGCACACTGAAATCACGGGGATTTTTAAAAACATACTGGCTCCCAGCCCCCAAATTCTGACCTAAATGGCATCAAGTACAACCTGGGCATTGGGATTTTTAAAGCTCCATAAGTGACTATAATGTGTAGCAATCCGAGAACTGGTACCCCAGGGTTTTAAATTTATGACTTTCAACAACTTACACCTGAGGTCTGAGAATCTTCAACTGAGTGAGGATGTCCTTCTGCACCCTGAGATTAGCTGTGGCAGTAAGAGCCATCACTGGAACAGAGGGAAACTTCTGGCGAAGCATATTCATTCTTTTGTAATCTTGACGAAAATCATGTCCCCACTAGGTGGGAGGAAAAAAAAACATCACTTTTCAGACTATTTGACTCTTTCGTATATACAAAGCAAACACTGCTCACTGTATTAAGAACCACATTATTCTTCAGTGAAATAGCAGAATAATTCGCCCAATGTTTTTATCTCTTCAGTCCTGAAAATATATATAGTACATATTTATTGACATTTCAAGACATATAAAACAGTATTTACCTGACTGACACAATGTGCTTCATCAATAACAAACCGTGCCAAGAGATTCCTCTCATACAGATTCTCCAGAGTAGAAATCAGTCTGTTACTTGCACAGACCTAGACCGGAAATAGATTAATTAGACATTTAAAAACATGTAAATACCACATAACTTCAAGGATTTAATTGTTTTTAAATTCCACTACAACTTAAGTTGCATTAAGACCTTCACAGAAAATTGGTTCTTATTCCAATCTATGAAGAGAATTAGCAGAAGTAAAAGAAAATAACAGAGATATTTTAGAATATTCGCTCCCATTTAGCAAACAGTTATATATCAAGTTGGTGGTTCTAAAATTTTTTTCCTAGTCCTCAATATATCTGAGGCCCACCACACATTTACCTTGAAAACAGGATTATGGATATGTTACCTGTGTGCATGTTACTTGGGGAGGAGGGATACATACATACATATATAATTTATGTGTATATATACTTATGTACATATATATTTGTCTATGTATATATTTCATAGCTCTGTCCATGAACGAGCCTAGAAGCAATGACATCTCAGTATCAACGACCATATCTGGCACCCACATTTTGACAGAGACATGTCAAAATGACACAGAAGCCACTTTGATGGACATCTCCCACTGGCCAAATCCAGGACAATTAGAACAACACAATACATAATGATAACTGATTATAGCCCACTGCATAAATTAAAAATCCACGATTTCATATTGCTATAAATAAATATGTAGGTAAAGGGAAAGCTCTTCCTTACAGTAGAATGCCTACTAAATTAAAAAATCATTTGGCATCCATTATAGTAATAACTAATGGGGAATCATCAATAGAATTGCTCAGTGTAAGGAAAAAACCTCCGCACATTTGTTGATCAGAATGAAGTATTCTATGTGAATACTAAAGGAGAGGAACATAGCGGGGAAAGACTGGGTTTTTCCCTATGTCATGGGGGGGAAATTGGATTTTTTTTTTCTAATATAGCTTTACTATCATATTTTAAAATAATGATAAAATACAAACCTTCTCTGGAGTAACATATAGAAGTTTTATAATAGGGTCTTTTTTTGATAATTGGAGGTAAATACTTGTAGCTTCGGAGTCAGTCTTATCACCTGTCAGATATGTAGCTGGAATCTAAGTATAAAAGTAGTAAACAATTTAAACTTTACATATTAATCTGACTTCAGCTTATATTTATCCCTAGCTTTTGTAAATATTTCACAAGTCATATATCAAACCTGTCAAAGATAATCTCAGTATAACTAACAAATAATCAGTACATATTTAAAAACCCTTAATAACTATAACTCGAAATCTTCTTCTCATTGTTTACTTTTCTTTTTCTCTTTTCTTCACTTCCTTTGCTTATTTGTAAATAAGATAAATATGAATTCAGCATCCAAGAGATTCTAGTCCTAATACACCACTATGCTTCTCTAGGTAAACGTGCTTTCAGGGTTCAACGTGGAACGAAGATGAACGAGCTGCAGCATCACAAATGGCTGAACAGTGGCTATCGTCACTCCACGAAGATGTTCTCTGGAAGAAAAATCAAGCCACTGGTCTTGTCGAGGGGTGGCGGTTCACAACCCTGAATATAGTTCTGTTTGATCACAGTATGTAGGATTTAGTAGAAAACATTCATACACTTTCTTAACCTTAACCAGAAGGAAAAAGGACATATGTGTGTGGGCACGTGCATGTGTGTGCAATTTAAGATATTAAGGGAGTGAGAACTATGCTGATCTGGCAGTAGGAAAAAAAGAAATCCTTTCAGATTAGTTAAAAAATAATAATTTACATCAGCAAAATACAAGTTAAAAGTTCTTAGTAAAATACATTCTTCTAGAATAAAATCAGACTGAATTATAGGTTATCTGTATCGGAATTTTCAACGACTTGTGCTTAAATGTACAAATTAATGTGATTATTGTGCTTTATTCTTATAATTCATAAACTGTTACATAATAGGTAGCGTTTTGTTTTAACTTACATCCAGTGAAGTCAGTTTTTGGACTTGATCTACTATAAGTGATCTCAAGGGAGAAATGACAATAGTGACCCCAGGAGAAACACAGGCGGGAAGCTGGTAACACAAACTTTTACCGCCTCCTGAAAGAGAAATGACAAAAAATGTCAGTTCTTTCTCGAGAGCTTGAAGGCAAAAGTTACAAAGTAAACAACATATAATATTAAAGTAATTAACTAATAGAATATCAAGGGATAATTCCCACGATACCAACAATTTGCATATTCAAATGAGCCAAAATACTTAGGCAATTTAAATGTGTAAACATTTATCTTTTAAGACATCTCATGTAGGTATATATGACAGTAAAAGCAAGAATTGGCAGAAAACTTAAATGCAACAGAAGTGCTTTAAAAGTCTACTTGGGAAATCCAAATGCAGTACAGGGGCTACTCTGATTAGATGATACTAATATTAAAATAATTATTTTATATAATATTTAATTTTTAAAGAGTTAAAATGTGATAAGATATACAACACAAAATCCTATGGTTTAATATTTCTTAATGAACCAGAATATTTCTTAATGAACTTTTAGAATCTTAGTTTTTTTAAACCACTAGTATGAATATCAGAACTTTTACTCCCCATACTCTCATAAGTAAAGTAATAGTCCCAATTTTCCTTTAAAAAAAAAAAAAGAAAAGAAACGAAACAAAACAGAACTACATTTGTGTGTACGAACAGAAGATGAAGAGAAGGAAATTTCAAAACCAAAGCGGTGGGAGTCTCTCTCCATGTAACTCTAATTCAAAAGAGAGAGACAACTGGGACACATTTTATGGTAACTAAAATGATTAATCCCTATTTTCGACTTCACCAACCTATTAATGGTAGAAACTTGTAACAGGCAGTTTCTAGGACTTCAATTTTTTTAAAACTAAACAGTATATTCCATCTTTTCTGCATATGTAGTAAGGAAATTTCACTTTGGTATATATGTGTAAATGTCAAGGCAAGAGCAGGAAGCTGAGTTCTATTTTCTGCTCTACCACTTAATGGTTATGTGACTTAGACATGCCATTTAACCTTACCATGCCTCAATTTTATCACCTGTAAAATGTACTAGCTCAGTGGCTCACAAAATTTGGCCTAAAAGAACCTTATTTGGAATCTTTATATACATAAATCAAGAGGTTGAAATTGGGGTGGAAAGAACTTTAAAAATGCCCCCTTGCAACTCCAAAAGACTGTGAAAAGCCTTGGAAACCACTAGTATAGCAAGGGTACTTTCCTGCTTTAGTTTTGGAGTACCAACTTGGAGTTGAAACAGAAGACACAGAGTGAACAAGTCAGTGAAATATGAAATGTTATTAACATCGTCTGAATTTTAAAATCGGTTTGAAAAAATTCAGATGCCTAGCCAACACTATTTAACAATGATGGTAGTAATTATGGTCACAATAAGGCAAGGAGAAGACTACATGTGTATGTATTGAAACTCCAAATTTCCCATGCTCTTATTCTAACTGCTTTTTTAATATTCTGACTTGGATGACTATAAATCAGTGAACAGCTGTTATAAATGTTAATAGCACAATGAAAAGTCCTGGATCTCTTCAAAACAGGCCAAGAAAGAACTACAGAAAATGTTCTTCATTTAATTCTCATGACACTCTGTGAAGCAGGTGCTTTATTATTATCCCCACTACACACACGGGGTTCAGGGAGTGGGGTTCCTTGCTCAAGGTCACACGGCTAATAAGTGGTAGAGCTGCACTTTAAGGGCAGCTTAAAGGCCATCACTCCAGAGCTGATGATTTTAACTACCATGCAACACTAGACTGTACCAAGTAAACTGCCAGAAATGGTCATGTATCTATTCCAGTCCTATATTTTTTGTTCACGCTGCAGATTACTTTAGACCAGGAAAAAGAAAAATTCCCAAAGAGAATTCTAGATCAGTTCAACACAATGAGCTTTGAGTTGAAAATCTTAAAGGGCTATAAATGTTATTATGTCAACAACTAGAACAGAGGGTGTGATGTAGTAAATATACTTTTTTACTACGGCACAAGAGATTTAGAGGCCCCTAAATGATAGAAATACTGTGTCGGTGTTTTTTTTTTTACTTCTATTAAAGGGCTTTCATTTCACATCTGCCAATGGATTCCTGCCAATTTATATCTAAAAATACATACCAGTGGGCATTAAGATAAAACAGTCTTCACCAAGCAGTGCAGCATTGATCGCCTCTAGCTGATTAGTTCTAAAATTATGCAGGCCAAATTTTTTATGAAAAATCTTCATCATTTCTCTTGTATGAGGAAAACTAAGACTTTGGAAACGCTCATGTTTCAGATGTCTAGATGGTAAATTTTGTGCCGACTCATCTAAAAAAAATAGTGTTAAGTAACATCAGTGCTTTAATGTCACAAGTCAGTTTTAGCATTTACCCTTTGCCCTGACAATCATTGGCATACATTTTCCGACAGCAAATTCTTTCTTTAACCATTTACCAGATTTCCTCCTGCAAAGTGTCAAAGCCACCAGACTTCCTAAGGGCCAAATTCAGGTCTTTCCTTGATTTCTCTACAGCACCACCGCTACTCTGTATTCTCTCCTTCCTCTTCTCTCTTGACCTTCAAGACGATTGTGGATCTTCTACTTGCCTTAAATCCCTGTTCTTGGCTCCACTTCTTCCACCTGCCTCTTAAATTTAGGCGTCTTTCAGACAGGGCTGGGCTCTTTAGAAGCTCTTTTTTGGAATTTTCCTAATCTTATTATCTTAAGCATCACCTATGTACACAGAATACCTAGATCTTTCTTAAGACCAGATGGATCCCCTCCTAAGTTCCAAGTCTTATATGCATCTCCAGTTGTCTGAAAGACATTTCTGCCTGAATGACTATCAACAAGCACTGTAAGCTCAGCAAGTCTTAAAATAGTCCTCCTCAGCTTTTCTCCAAATCTGCTTGTCTCCTGACTTCCCTATATGTTAATGGTGTCACAGTTTCCCAGTCACCAGGTCAGAAACCTCAGAGTCATCTCAGCTTCCTGATTCTCCTTCCACAATGTCTCTCACATCCAGCCCCTGTTCTCCATCCTTGCTGTCGCAATTCTGGATCAGCAGAGAGAACGAGAGGAGCTCACGCCAGCTTTAGCAATAACTCCAACCCCAATGCTCAACTGCCTCAAAGATAATTGTGAACTTCAGGTATGACACATTCTAACATGATACAAAAATAAATCCATTAATGGTTAAAGTTCAACAGTGTAACTGTAAGAATAACCTCTGTGGTATTAAGTCATCAATAGCAAAAATAGGGAGGGCTATACTTTATAGAACTTTGCACGAGTGTTAAAAAAAAAAACACTTGTAATAACTTTATAAGGTTGATGCAATGGTTTTAAATTAATTTTGGTTTTTCTCTGCAGCCTTTATAGTGGCTAATTTCACTCCTCTAAAAACTTCTCTCATTAAACTGTGAGCTCTAGGAGGGCAGGAAATATTCATTATTCATCTATTACCAGAACCTAGCACAGAACAGGGTGCATAGTAGGCACTCAATAAATATTTTGTTGACTGAATTAAAAAGATTCTAAGCCAAAAGAAAATTTGATTTCTTTAAGAAATTTGACTGCATATCTTTCTTAGATTGTCTGAAATTTTAATATTTTGGCAAAAGAGAATTTGATTGATTTAAGAAATTTGACTTCATATCTTTCTTAGATTGCCTGAAATTTTAATATTTTAAGACACAAAACACAATTCTCTGCTTTATAAACTGATCGGTTCTCATTAATCCAGAATTCTAAAAATACACACACATTTTTAACATATAAACTCAGCTCTGCTTTTGCCCATCCCCCAAATCATTAAAAACTTGGCCCTCATGAGCTTTATTGTTTTAGGGACTAAAAATGTTAATTTAAAGGCAAAGCACATTTGTAATGACTTTAGAGCTTTACTACAATAGGTTATAATTACACATTTTATAAAACTACAGCTGCTACAGAGACAAAAGAGCAACTTGCTTTTGAAATTGATTTGTAATTCATATTATCAGAAGAAATTTGCATAGAAACAATGTAGTTTTGAGGCAGTGATGACTTGCTATAGTTTTTCTTACACAGTTACTTACGATTTTAGACAGTTTTGTTTTCATATAAAATATAAGCATTTATTTTAAACTTACCAGTGTAATTCTGAATTGATTCCGAGAAGTTTTTATTTTGAGGGGTAGATGCCACTGGAAGACAGTTTGTCTTGGATGGAGAAACTCTTTCTGATACTGACTTAACTGGCCGACCTTCCTTAATAGGTTGATAGACAGCTGTGGAAGATTTGCTGGCTGCTAAGTTATGCATTATATCTTCCCACTCATCATCATCATCAAAGCCATCTATGTCAAAATTATCAGTATCATAGGAAGCCTGGATTTCTCTTTCTAAGTCTACTGAAGCAATGTGTTCATTCTGATCTGTCATGGCAGTGCTTGTGAGAACATTTCTTGGGAAATGAGAGCTTTCATTTCTTTTTTCTATCCTTGGTGTGTCAGCCTGGTCACTACTCACAAAGCATTGCTGTACATGGGAAATGAATGATGGTCCTTCAGTGAGATTCTTCCTGGTGGCTGAGAATCCTGCCCTTCCTGGGGTAGTAGTCACTAAACATTCCCCAGTAGAAATGGAATTTGAGGGAACAAGTGGAAAATTGAACTCATCAGAATTCCCCCTAGGGCAGAAATCGCCCTTTGGAAATGCATAAGGTGAGGAAACAGATGCCACATCCCCCATGGGGCTACCAAGCGCATCAGGCCTACACCTCCACACTACACCAAGAACGCCGGCATCGCCTGGGTTAAAATCTGCTTCGGCTAGGAGCTTCCTTCTGAAGAGAGAACACAGAACACCATATTAAGTACCAGTAGTCTATCATGGTAGGCCACACAAGTATATCTTTAGTTTCATCTCAAATTATGGCAAAATATATATCCTCTTTTTTCCAATCTCAAAAACTTGAATACAAATGCTAAAGGAACAGTTTGAAAAAGTAAATAAATTTAAAACATAGTGACAATTTATCCTATTCAGAATGCCTGGAAATTTTGCCCTGTACATTTCTAACTTTGAGTGGTGGAAGTACAGTTTGATATATTTCAGGAGGAGAAAAATCAAGATACCTTATGTTCCGCTGCTGAAGCAGGTTGTTCCCACAATCCAAAGATTTCAGCTCATTATCAGGAATAGTATCAACTAAATTACAGATGTTGTCCATCACACGAATAAGCTGCTGCTGTAAATTTATCTGTTTAGCTATAAAGTAATCATATTGTTAATATTTTTCCTTGAAAACAAAAGACAAGATTTTTGAAGTCATTGTGTCAAATCTGAAGTAGTTTAAAAATAAGATTATACACAACCATATATTGTCCTAATTATTTGCCTGTGAACCAATTTGAAATCAGATCGTCTCTATTTTATATCATGAGAGCTCATAACTATGTTATCATTTAATTTCATGTTAATTAATATTTCTCTTAGGGTAACTAGGGTTGTTGGAAGATAGAAAGTTTTATCAATTAACTATGATTTCTTACTAACTTCAGGTGTAAATCTCACCACACCCACACAAAGTATATCATAAAGGGCTGCACAGGCAAGACCCCCACCTTGCCCCGCCACTGCTGTTGTCTGCCTGGCATCCAGGCTTTCTTTCAATGGTAACGGCAGAGTACCCGGACTCTTTTTGGAGACCACCCTACCCCACTGCCTCAGTGGGCATCTGATGTAAGGCAGCTCAATGAGAGTCAAGTCTAGAAGTATTTTGGCTGGCCGGAAGAGAGGGCCTCTCTTTTCAACAAGCTGGAGAAGCTGCTGGTGGTCCTCTCTGCCACAGGGAAACACAGCTTGGAAATAAGGCTAGTACAAGAGAAAGCAGAAAACAGAGAGAAAATAATGAAAGGCTGAGATAAAGAGATGAGATGAAAGAGAGGAGAGAGAAGGCAGGTATGTAAGAGAGAAATCCCTGATAACAATATTTGGGTATCTGAATCCAGCCAGCCTACTCTACATATTTTTGTTTAAGCCGTATAATAACTAAAAAACAGAATGTCAAAGAAGGCAAAGTTTTAGATGAAGGAAAGAAAAAAATGTATTGGAAGCAAGGAAGAAAGATGCCTACTCCATTCCTCGGGCCTAAGGTACAAAGGAGAAATAAGAGGTTTAGGTGGGCTGCAGAGGAAACAGCATTCGCAGAAGACAATCAGAGAAATAAGGGGAAGAAGTATTTAGAGAAGAAGATGAGGCTGCTGGGAAACTGCTGACCGAGAAGTCAGTTAAGGCTCTAAAGGGCAGGAAGGAGAGAAAGAAAGAACAAATCAGAGGTGTACAGAGCAATGTGGGAACAAGCATCCATGTGAGAATGAACTGGTAGATGTGGACTTTTTCTAGTGACTGATGTAAATAGGAACGTGGGGTATAAGATGGTAAAAGTGGAACTGCTGAATTCCTATTTTAATTCTGTTTTTTTTGCAAGGAGAATGGGCATAAAAGGAGGAGAATAAACAATGATCTGAAGGAAATGAAAGCCAAGACAGGCTCAGAAAGAGATACAGCCATTGGAAAGGAGCTCAAGTCTCCTTGTCAGACAGATTACACCTCAGAATACAAAGGAAACCTGCAAATAAGATCTCAATGATACTTGAGGCATCTAGTGAATAGCAGAGTTGAGCACATGTGAGAGTGAAGACAAGCAAACACTGTTCTAATTTTCAAAAAAATTGTAAAGTGATTGGCAAAAGCTACAGGCTGGTGATCTTGATTTAATTCAAGGCAAAATTCTAGAACATGTTATCAAATGGCTGCTTTGTGAGCTCAAAGAAGGATTAGAAACAATTATAGAGTTAGCAAGAGTTCATAGAAATAAACCAGCCATCTTAATGTCCTTCCTTCTTTGAAAGGATTACTAGACTGGCAGTTAACAATAGCTATCATTTGTTGAAGGCCAAAGTACACTAGGTACTTTACCTTGAATCTAGACGACTACCCGGCAAGGCAGATATTATTCAGAAGAAACTGAAGTCCAGAGAAGTTTAACTAATTTCCCATAGCCACACAGTCCTGTGAAGGAGAAGAAGGAGGAGGAGGAGACAGATTTGTATCTCAGGACTGCATCTCTCTAGAGCTAATGTCCCATCCATCCATTCCCTCTTGCTGTCTCAGACCTTGAACTTCTGAGAGTTATATGACCAAGACTTTTGCATCCCCAAGTACAAAGGTCAGAAACATGGCCTGAAAGTAGATTTGTAACTTATTGAACAAGAAGTGGTGATGAATGGACTGTCAGCTGAGAGGGAGGCCTATATTGATATTCTGTAGGACTCTGCCAATCATTTTATCAGTGAAACTTAATGATGCAGAAACATTATAGTGCAGAGGCAAACAGTGCAAACTTAAGATCCTCAAGGCTGCTGGGTTCGAATCCTAGCTCTGCTGTTGTCTAATTCTATGACCACGTGTCATTACTTAACTCTCCTGTATCTCAGTTTCCTTGTTTGTAAAATGTGGATAACAGAAAGTACCTTAAAGGGCCATTGTGTAGGATTAAATTAGTTAACTTTGTAAGGCACTTAACAAAAAGAAATCCAAAGCAAGCAGAAACAGAGAGACCACTACACATGCGTGTGTGCACGTGTATACACACAGTAAGTACGGCATGTAGCAAACATGAATAGAATGTGTTACAGAAATATTTAAAGACTAAAAAGAGCACTTGGAAATTGATTTTAAAAACTCCATAGAAGAGTCAAAGATAAATATGAGGAAATCTCCCAGAAAGCAGAGAAGCAAGACATGGAAAATAGAAAGACAATTAATGGAAGCTTAATATCCAAATAACAGAGGTTCCAGGAAAAGTAAGAGAAAACAAAAAGAAGAAAATAAAAGGAAAAACCAGAAAAATTTCCAAAACAAGACACAGATTTCTAGACTGAAAGAGGCTCTGGAAAATTGAAATTAGTAGTGGGAAAAAAGACTGCTGTTTTTCAAAGTCTTATAGCACTATCGGATTATTTATACTAGATATTTAATAGAAAAAAATTTTAAATGAATTAAGAAACATCCAACAAGCAAAAAAAATTAATCTTTAAGACCCCAACCCAGAGTCTATAGGAGGAGAAATAGGAGGATGAAAGGTCTAGAAATCTATAGCTACACAGAAGAGTTAAAAGACCTAATAATATGTAGCCTTAAAATAAAAACAAAGAAACGAAAAAACTTCTGGAATATTTAGACCTATTTCACAAGGATTAAGTTATAGGAAGGCAAATTTTGGTTTAATATAAGATATAACTTTCTAACAAGTAGTGTTTTCAAAATAGAGAATGAATTATCTTTTGAGAACATGATTTTACAAGTTGTTCAAGCAAATCCTGGCTAACCAATGAACAGGGATGACTATATTACAGCAAAAGGAACTATAAATTTGCCATCTTATACTATATAGTCACAAGTAAAAATATAACCTTAACTTTGTTTTCAAAAGTAAGTAGTTAAAATATGTGATATGTGTAAAACACTTTTTTGTACCGTCACAGTCTGTGCTGCTTTCTTCGTTAGACTGCTGAGTAGGCATTTTCTCAGGTTTTGTCAAATCCTCTGATGTGCCAAAACTTTCCTTCTTTTGGTCACAGGTGTCAAGGTCCTTTAACATACTACAAATTAAAAAATATAAAACCAGTCCAACTGGTCAGATGATATATAATAGAAAAGAGAAAAATGTTTTCATATCTTCTCTATTCTAAAGCCTCTTTAGCTGGCCCTCAAAGTCTTTCACCTTGTGGCCCAAGAGACCTTTTCAACTTTATCTCTATTTATGCCCTTTCAGTAATTCCAGGCTCCAATCGCATCACTTAACAGTCTTCACATGAGCCTTGCACTGTCTACTTCAGAATTTCTGCCTCTGTTCTCTGAGCTTGAAAAACCCGCCATTCCAATCTCTTCTCACCCGTATCATCCCTGTTCTTCTAGGCCCAATCCAAGTGTTACTTTTCTGATTTCTTTAGCAGGTGGTTATTAACATCTCTGTCTTTTGAGATTCCAAAACATTTTATCCAGCCTTCTCTGATACAAACACATATATGTGTGTGGATCTGTACATATAATTAACTCTTACAGATCATACAAAAATATATTAACACATGTAAACATGGTCAGTTTGACTGCATATAAAAATATTTTAACAGTAACAAAATAAATTAGTACTAATCATTAAAGAGAAGGTACTGTGGAAATCCAAAGAAAGATCACACTTTCTGGAACTTGAGAAGGCTTTGCCAAGAGAGTAGGATTGGAAGAAACCTTGAAAGATGGTATGAGAAATGACAGACTATGAAGAAGGGCTAAAAAAGATAATTCTATCCATTTGATATCTAGGAATCAAACTTTACTTTTCTAAAGCAGGACGGATAACCATGTTTTATATAGTTTTATAAAATGATGATATAATTAAAGAAAGGGCTTTACTTTTTTAGCAATGTTTTCCAGCTGGTGATAAAGGTGAAAGGTAATTTGGGACCTGAAGATGAAGGATTTTGAGCACCAGCTAAAGAGGTTTAAGAATACAAGGATACAAAAATATATTTCTCTTTTTGTTATATATTATCTGACCATTACACTTCTGAAATTAATTCAGAAGTCACAACCAGCATTTTAAAATTAAATAAAAACAAAATTTAAATGTGTTCTGCACATAAAGTATCATTTGTGAAAATTCTTTTTATAATATATATAAATATGTATATGAGGTTGCAATGGAAAATAGAATCTACCTTGGAAATAACCCCTTTCCAAGTGCTGAAGATCTAGGTAAAGTTAATTATGGTATGGCAACTCAAATTATGTAGCCATTAAAAGAAATACAAATATGAAAAATGTTTTAAAAATAATATTAAGGAAAAAATCAGAATAAAAAAATGGCTAAAGAAAATGTTTGGTTTGTAGGAATTTTGAGACTACAAGTAAGTATCCTGTTAAAGTGGTCACAGTGCTATTTGTGTAATACACTTTTTCAAGAAACAAAGAAAAAAGCCAGGAAATAGCACTACACTGGATCTTAATCCATTTGCCTTTAATTTTATTATCCTGAGCCATCACCTACTCCTCCCTGGGCCTAAGCTGTTTCCCCTCCCTAAATGAGGATGCTGACTTAGAATCCAGATTCTATATGAACTTCTGCTCAGTTCTTTACTTTGTACAATTCTGTCTGAACTTCTATCAGAAGGAAGAGGAAGAGGGAGAGCAGTTATAGTATTTTAGTTTTGTCATCAAATTGTAATAACGCTTCAACCTTTCTTGCCTCTTCAAACATCCCAACACATCTGTTAAAAGACAAACCTGGAGAAACTCAATTATGCACACAAACTACTTCCTGCCTTCCTTTCCTAATTAAGGTGATATCATATAGGGATCTAGTTCTCATCAAAATAGGTTAATATCATAGTATATACTCCACCACTCGACTGGACTGTGGTTTAGATTGGGGTGAGGATGGAGGTAACAATAGTTATTGATGAGCTGAATTTTTCCCATAACACTACTAATTAAACACAAGCATGACATTAATTTACTAAAACTCAGTGAATGACAAATAAAATGGCAATTCTAATCTGTAGGATTTAAAAGGGGGGGAGGGGCGCATATCACTTACTAAATAATTTCCCAAATAAGGAGTTAGCTTTGTGTCATTTCAGATCCAGGAATGTGGAAATATGATATTTTTAAGAATACATTCCTCGTGTCGAAATCAACTACATACAATTGTTTGGAGGTAATAAACTGTGAAGAAGCATGAAATTAATTTATATAGAAACCATATAACTAAATTAAATTATTTCAGATATCCAAGAAACAAATAATAATGTTTATTAATTAATTAGTTACTTTACCTAAAGCATTTTAAAGAGGAAGAAGAGGCAGAAGTCATTTCTTCTTCTGGAGAAGGTGGAACAAAATCTATATCATAATCATCTTCATCAAGCTCAATACATGGTGATTTCTCGATGGAATATAATTCAGTTTCTTCGAAGTTTTTCTTCTTTTCACTATTATCTAAAGTAAGCAGTTGGTAAAAATAGGTTATTTTAATAATTGATGAGACAGAAAGAACAAGGTATGAGCACTGAAAAGTGAGTGCTTCTGGAAAGTCATAAACAATAACACCATTCCGTGACCAGTCTCTTTTAACACATTAATGTTGGTTTGTTTCTTCATAAATGATTATTGAGTCAACTGGACTAAGTCCAATGAATGCTGGATTAAGGCTGAAGATGCTTAAGGGTTTTTATGGTTGTCTCCAGTTATACTATGAAACCATAGTATAATCACTCTTATTTTTCTATTTTTTACTCATATTTAAATATGTCTGATAATTGTATAAACACTGTTGTTTGTGCAGATAAACTATTTCTACTTTACCACTAAGGCTTCCTAGTGATTTAAATCTACCAGATTCAGTGTCTTTCTCCTGACTCTGAGGAAAAAAACAATGCCAAATTGTTGTTCTCTAGTTAACCTTTTACCAAATTTTCTCTTCATAAACAGTAACACATTTGATTAAACTATTGTTTTGCTTAATTATCACCACTTTTTAGTCCTCTTTCACTCTAAAGTAACCTTAATGGGGTTCAGGTGTTTAGAAATTTTAGTCTCATATTTACAACTATTTCATAAGGTAGATAGTTCCACATATGGCTAATCTCAGTTACCAAGTTCTGGACATCCAATAACTACGAGATCTAAACAGAAAATCATTTGAATGCTATTTATAATACTTCAATAGCATGATTAGATCATATTACATATATCAATATTAGGTGGCAGCTAGCCATAAAGGAATTATAATAGAGAGGCTTAGTTTAGTTTCACTTCCCAATTCTACCACTAACCAGCCAGTAGACCATTAATGAGTCATTTTAACTTCTATGGACTTTATTTTCTTCATATGTAATATCACAGAGCTATCCTTGGTGTTAATATAAAAATCGTATTAGCAGAATAAAATCTTTCATTTTATCAGTATGTTCTGCCTTGAGAATGTAGCCAACAGATTGTTCAATAAGTACCTCTATGGATCCTAAGAACAAAAAGCTGTATCATATTTGCTACTATTCCCAAAGCTTAGCTCTGAATGAATGAATACAATCGACATATTGAAATGAAGATAAAATAAATATAATTTTTACCTCCTTCCTCTCTTAAATGAGTTTTTAAAGAGTGACTATCCTGAGAATCTTCATTTATAAGCTCTTGGGAATTGGGGCTGTCATCAATGCAAATCACACCGCTATTTAACCATTTGGAGTCAGCCTTCTGTTCTTTAGTGGAATATACTTGGTTGCTTTCAGAGGAGGAAGAAGTCAAATCAACCTTTACTGTATTTGCTTTATGAAGGTGTGCTTTAAAAAAGTTTCTCTTAGACTTTTTTGATTTCTGAGCAGTGCTTACTCTTACAAAGTGATTTCTGAGTGGCGTAACAAATGCTTTTGAATTTCCAGAAGTATCAAAGTCATCCATATCATCCCAATTGTTGATGGCAATAAAAGAATCTGATGAAGAACTAAATTCTAATTTCTTGAAAGCAGGATCACGAGATTCCTTTATAATCGGTGTGCTCTGGGTAGTATGTAAAACTTCCTGCACCAAATCCGGCAGTAATGGTTTTGAACCAGCTCTCTTGGTTTGCTGTCTTGCTGGAGCATTTTGAAAGTCATCGATCTCTGTCTGCTGACTTGTGGTGTGGGCTAAAGGTTCACTGAAGAAAAAGGCCTCAGTAACATTAATGTCTTTATCACTTAACACAGGTGTTTTGGCTACTGACACACTAGTCACAGATACATCATTGGCTGCAGATATTTTCTTTTTAAAAGTGAAACCTCTGAAAAATAATTGAAAATCGGAATTAGGTCAATTTTAACAAACCTAAAACTATACAAAGCTCTACATTGTTTACTAATTTATATAACTTACCTTCATTGTATCATGAATGAGCAAAGACTCTACTTCCCTCTCTGACTTTAACATTTATAAGGGAACTTACATTATGCTTATGCTCTGATTCTTCATACTCAGGGGCTACTATTCAGTCTTGAGAGTATCCAGGCCACTCCCACTACTTTATTTCTCAGGCTGGTAGTTCTTAATAGCAACTCCAGAGAGAGGGGACAGTATTAAATTAAAAAAAAAAAAAAAATGTGGCTACTCATTGCTACTCTAATAGTTCTATGGGAAAGAGGGTTAAAAACTACTATCTATGCTGAGATCTGGAGGACAAGTAAGAGAGTCCTGGACATCTCTGGATTTAGTGACATGAAGGTCAACGGTGACTTTAAGTTAAACATCCAGAAGAGTGTCTAGAACCTGGTAAGGGCACATAAAGAATGCAAACTACTATCAGATATCATTAAAAGGAGTTTGGATTATAGCTGAGAGGAAATAACAGAACTGGAGAGCTGTATAGTTTCCTTATAAACTCTTTTTGGAAAGGATATAAAATTATATTAAAATATTAAAAATACCTATTGGCCCAAATTTACAAGATTCATTATTCATTCATTCATTCACTCATTCATTCAAAAACATTTACTGAGTAAGTATTATGTGCCAGGAACGGTGCAAAAGCACCGTGCAATTACCTGGTGCTGCTAACACATGGTTACCATTAATTTGCAAACTGGGAAAATCATTGAACTCTCAAAGTCACCCTTCACTTCCTCATCTATATAATGAAAGGGTAGAAAGGGCAGATATCTCATTTGTATGATACTATGTGTTAATGTATGTATGACAACAAACCAATCAAAATACTTACGAAGATTTTGGTTTTGAAAAACTTAATTTATTATTAAGTTTTCTGGCTGAATGACGCTCCAGTTGCTCCTGTAGATTATTTTGAGGAACAGCAGCCATGATCCTACAAAGTGAGGAAAAAAACTATTAGTGGAGTTATGTATTTTGCATTAATCACAATATTTTTTTTGCCGGGGGAGCACTGTCCTAACTGTGCCCAAAGTAAATGAGGCTTTTTTTTGGTCAATAAATGTGTTGACATTTACGACTGGTGACATTTGAAATATATAATGTTTAACTAACTGAAGGCTCACTTGAATAGCAAAATGACCTGCTTTCCACCACTGCTAAAATAAGCACAAAAGACTTTAGGGAAGGGATTATTAGGAAAGGGCTTGCAGAAAAATGGGACCTGCCCTGGGCTTGAAGAATAAATAGAAACTGGACAGGGAGTGAGGAAGGAGAAAATGATCAAAGCATACTGAAAACCCAAAGAGCAAATGAATAACTGAATTCTCTACCTAAGGGGAAAATCTGGAAAAGAAGGAAGAGCACCACCAATGAGAGCAATGGTTCACCAGCAAGATACCGTGCTTCATAATCTAGTTTCAGCCTAAAAGAATACTTTTGTCAAGCAAATTTATCCCTTGTGCAACAATCTGTGATATTGCTGAGCTATTGTCTAGGATAATTTACAGTTTAGGATAGCCAAAATCAATGGATAGTAAAAAATTCTCATTTTGGCTGATAGTTATATAACCCCTTTCCCATTCTATATTTAACAGAGATCAACTTTTATTTTACAACATATATCTTAGGAGGAAGGGTTAACATTAGATGTTTGTGGAAATATGAAGCTTTACATAAATTACATTCCACTCACTAATTAAAATTGCCTATGCTTATTAACTCTTCATTTTAGATAACAGTGAAAAGAAGAAAAACTTGGAAGAAACTTATATTCAATGGAGAAACCTCCATGTGTTGAGCATAAGGAAGATGATTATGGTATAGATTTTATTTTGTTCCACCTTCTCCAGAAGAAGAAAAGATTTCTGCCTCTTTTTCCTCTTTAAAATGCTTAAAATAGCTAATTTATTAATAAACACTGAATAATTCACACTGACATTGAATTATATCTTAATCAAGTTCCTACCAAAATAAAACATTAAAAAGTAGACAGAAGGGTATAATGAACTCCTACATACCTACCACCCAGAGTCAATTATCAACCCATCCAATACTGTTTCATCTATAGACATCTTAAAGTCCTTACTTCATCATTCTGGAAGTTGACCTCTCAAAATGTTGATATTTTAATTTTTTCATTCCTTCTTCACTGATTAGCTGAAATATACCCAGGAGTCCAGTTCACATAGGAAGGATAGGAGAAATGTTGAATTCTTTCCCTTCGTTTATGACTTTTCAAAATAATGAGTTCATTCTCTAACAACTTCCAATGGTGGTCAACTGTTTTTGGTATAGTTATAAACTCACAGATTAAACATATTAGATATGTTTCAATACAGTTATTGATTCTCAAATCGTTTCATGTTTGGCCAGTGGAAGCCTTTTCAGATAGGTTCTTCAGTCCTTCTGACATTACCTTAGTCATCTTTGAGAGTTTCCTTACTATCTGGAATGACAAGATATTCCAGGTTTATCCTGTGCATTTTCCCCGCCCCCAGACTTAGAATCAGCCACTTCCTCCAAGGAGCCCTGATATTTCTTAATGGAGAATATTTTAAGACCTCAATTCCTGCATGTCCAAAGACACCTCCCATTTCTGTGGTCTTAGGGGGTGGTTACTGAAACATGCAGCCAAGCTCTGTGAACCCTACTAGGTTAGTGTCCAAAGGGGAGGAGCTGCCCTCCCCAGGGCAAATGGTGAGCTTGAGATAACCTTAGGAACCTCAACATGACCTCAAGAGGGCACTAAGGACAAGCAATTCCCTCTTCTCTAGTCAAATGAAACAAGCAAACACAATTTCTCGACAGACTTTTAACAGGGATTTCATAAACATTACATGTTCTATTCCTTTACCATCATATATTGTTTATTTTCTGGGAAGAGGCATATAGATCTCTGTGTGGCTTACCTAAGAAAAATAGTTGTCAAAATTTATAATCCCATTATTTCCCATAAGAAATGGAAATTTATTAATTAGTAGGTATCAAATGGTCTCCAGGTCTTTTATATTTTTCCAAGGATCTTTTATATTACAGTTTTTATTACATAGGTTTTAATTATCTTTTTTTAAAAAAATATATTTAAAGTAATTCTCCTTCTTTTAGACTTTTATTTATCTTTCAATTATATTTAATAGGTAAAATTAAACAAAACAATGGATAAGAGATATAAAAAGGATCTACACATTATATCAAAAAAGAGTTCAAACCAATGGGAATAAATGCAGATGATAAAAAGCCCAAACTATATTTAATTTACATGACCCAAACAACACAGCAAGAAAATGTAGAAAGCTAAAACTGTTAAAAATACAAGAAGAAATAACAGAAAGAGGCAGAATTTGTAAGGAGATCAGTATTACTTTACTACAAAAAGAAAAGACTAGTAGAAATAAGAAATGTACTAAAAACTCAGGTTCTTTGATCAGTTTCTGCCACAAATTCCCCATGTGGCTTTGAAGAATTCAATGATTCTCTCTAGTGTTCTCATTTCTAAAATAAGAAAGTCGGGCTAGAGAATTTGTTTCCTTCTAAAATTAGCCTCCTATGATTCCAGAACTAATAGGTATTTGGGAGGGATAAAATGAGAAGATTAGAGAATATCATCTCTTTAAAAACTGTTGATGAGCAATCAAAAAACTGTCAAAGAAAAATATAATACATAAAAAAGTAAAGATTTTACACCATTTCAAACTAGAGGCACAAGTTAATAAAAACAATAAGAAAAATATAAGCAAATTTTAGAAATGTTAAAATGTGGTCTTAATAAAACAACTGGAACATAGAAAAAAATCCCAAATTATAAAATACTATTTTTAAAGAGTGATAATTAAAATATTACACATTGAACTGTTAGTGGCAGCAGTGGTTCTTAACATTTTGGGTTGGATTCTGGTAACAATCTGATTAAAGAGAGAGACCCTCTGTCCGGGAAAATGAACAAATTTTGTAATCTGTTTCAGGGGGTTCTGAGTCCCACCAAGAGTCTATACCTTTGATAAGAATCTGCTATATTTGGATATAGCCAAAGGAAAGAAAAATAATGAATTAATTCTCTCTCTCTCCCCTGCAATGAATTAAAATAATGAATTAATTCTCTCTCTCTATATATATATGTATGTTGAGGTCTTAGAAAAAGCACAGAATAACAATTCAAATAAAAACATTTTTTAATGGCAGGAAAGCCAATAAAGAAAAATTAGGAGAATTGATAATATCGAGAGGTCATTTTTGGAAAGAAGAGTAAATGGACAAATAGTAAAACAAAATATTAAAGTAAAAAGTAAAATATAAAGAAAAGAAATAGAAGAGAAAAATACATAAAAACATTAAGTATAATAGTTGATTTGAAAATCTAAATTAAATAGATTTTTTGATAAAAATATAAGTCATCAATATTAATACAAGAAGCAGGAAATCAAGATGAACGGTCAAAATAGAAAGAATGTCAAACATTTTTTTAAAAGTACCAAAATTCATTCTATAAAACAAGCATGGTTCTGATCTTAAAACATCCCGAGAACAAAATAAGAAACAAGTTTATGCTCAACCTCAAAGGGTCCCTGCAACACTTCCCTGAAAACTACATTTCTCTGGTCAACTTACTCTCTCACCTTATCTAATCACCTTCTCAAAACTTTTACTCTTCTCTCAGCCAATGACTTTCATTCTACTTGTTTAGTTTTTAAACATGTGAGAGCTTCTCTCTTTTGGGGAAAAAAGCCCCCAAAACTCAACATTTATTTGATTCCTTATCCCCCTATATATACTGTCCTCTCCAAGTCAGGGCAGGGCCAAACTTGAAAGACTTATCCATTCTGCCTGCCACTCCCTCACATAAATCTGGCTTCTATCCTGAGTACATGCAAAACTCAAGTTACTAATGATCTCCAAGTTACTTAATCCAATAGCCTTTTTCAATTCTTCACTTTCCTGACCTCTTTAGCATATGACACAGTTGACTACATGCTCCTCATTGAAACACAAGCCTTCTTTCAGACCCTCTTGACACAGTTCGTTCCTACTTATCCTTCATGTCAATTTAACCATTAATTCCTTAAGGAAAACTCTATACTTAGGTAGTCACATAAGAATGATTAAGAGCATGGGTTTGTATCCTGACTGCCACTTATTTGCTAAGTGCTCTTGGACATAATGATACCTCAGATTCCTCATCTATATAATGAAAACTCACCTCATATGGTTGGTATTTGAATGAATTAATATCTGTGGAGTACTCAGAATGGTATCTGTCAGATAGTAGGCAATATATGTTTGATAAAGAAAAACTTCCCTATAATACAGTCTTATAACAACAAATACCTCTCAATTCCAGTTCCTACCATAGTTGCAATTCTACATTCACTTTTGTAATTATTTAATTGGTATTTCTTCTACTAGGTTGTAAACACAATGCAAATATGGGCCATTAATGGTTTTATAACCCACGGCATCTCTAAGCACCTAGCACTTAATCAATATTTATTAAATGAAAGAAAAAACAATGTTAAAAAATATAGAAAGCACGTCGCAGAAGGATTATGACTGTGATCAACTATGACTTATCTTAGAAATGTAAAGCTGGTTTAAAATTAAGTGAAACCACTAATATATCATCTTAATAGTTTAATAAAAATTAACATAAAATCAAAAAATTTTAAAAATGTATTTCTATTGGGGTAAAACATACAAGAAGTACACTAATCTTAAGCGTACAGCTCAATACAGTTTTACTTATGTATATAACTGTGTAAACAACATTCAAGTCAAAGTACAGAACATTTCTAGCACCTCAATATGCTTTCCTGTGTCTTTCGTAGTTAATACACCCCAGATGTAACCAGTATCTGACTTTATTTCCATGAGTTTTGTCTATTCTTGAACTTCTTCATTTGTATATATGGAATCATACAGTAAGTATCATCAATGCATTTTTGAAAAGGTATCTGATAAATTCAAACCATGTCTAATAGATACATTAAAACGGAATCAGAAGTATTTAAAATCAAGATCCAATATAATATCTTACATTTTTACAAGAGGGGTGAATCCATTAAAAATACAGGCAAAACCAAGACTGTTCTCTTATTTTCACTCTCTATTGGACATTCTTGCCAGTGCAAAAACATTCAAAAAGGAAAATACTAGAAAACAAGGAACATGAATATCATTATATGTAGATAATTTAATTGGATAGCAACACAATCCAAAGAAAAACAGTCCCAATAATAGAAAATTAAACTTTAGTAAAGTGGTTAAATAAAATGTAAATTTGCAAAAGTCAAATGCATCTTCATGTGGTAATAATAACTAGAAAATACAATTTTTAAAAGGCATTCAATTAATAACAGCAATGAAAATATTAAACTGCCAATTTACCTAACAAAGACATACATCTTCATGATATGAAGAAAATGACCAAGTATTACTGGAAGAAATAAAAAAAATATATGAATAAGTAAAGAAATATTTCATGTTCCTAAATGAAAGGTTCAAATATCACAAAGACAACAGTTCTTCATAAATTAAGTGAGTTTAACAAAATTCCAATTGGAACACCACAGAATATTTCACAAAACTCAACAAAAATGCTTCTAAAATTCATGACCAAAGCACACGAATACTAAATAATACTGCAGTGGCAACTAGCATTAGAAATATTATAATCGTATTAAATGTAACAATAATTTAAACTGGCATGATACTCATCTTTAAAAACAAAAAACCCTAGTCTCCAAAATATGTTTAATGTGTAATGGCAAAAACAACAAAATAGGGAAAAGAATATTTAAAAAATGTTATTGGGATAATCAATAAGCCATATACTCTAGATCTAGATACTCTAGTGGCAAACTGACTCATGGGCCAACTCTGGCCTGCAGTCTGTTTTTGTAAATAAAGTTTTACTGAAGCACAACCATGCCCATTTGCTCACATCCTGCTTATGGCTCCTTTAGCACCATAGTTGGGTAATTTAGCACCACAGTCCGGTAGTTACGACAGAGAATGCCTAGTCTGCAAAGCCTAAAATATTTACTATCTGGCCCTTTACAGAAAAGATGTGTTGATGGTTGCTGGATAAATAATCTAGATTGTTGCTGGATAAAATAAGAAATTATTAAGTATATCAAATCTTTGACAAGAAGCTTAAATAATTATCAGGTCAAAATCTAAATCAAAGTAGAAACCCAGAAAGGTAAGGAGGGCACTGAAGTTGCTTTTCTTGTGAGGGCGGCTGTCTAATCCTGAGAATCTGAACATCAGTTTTGAGAGATTTGGAAGAAAAGATATTCTGAATCAAAGTTAGGGTCCACCCAAGGTTGGAAGTATTCCCCTATAAAACCAGCACCCCAAAGGGCTATGTCATTTGGGAAAAGGTAAAGCAAAATTAAACCTCACTTCCATCCCAGGGTATCTATCTATAAGTAAAATTACCAGTTGCTGAGGGATTGAGTGGGACAGACCCTGAAACCACAAGCCCAAGAATCTTTTCAAAAACAATTATCAACCTAAACAATTATCAACATAATTAAAAAAAAAAAAAAAAACAACTCGAGTCACAAATTTAGATTAAAATGATCCTAACTCCAAGGCACCTGGCAGAAGCAAATGCAAAAACATCTCTGGAGAAATACACTTTTATCTTAAGCCTTAAATAATTCCCACAGATAAATTTCCAAAACAATGTGAACCAAATAGACAAAAATAGCCAAACACACAAGGAAACAAGAATGAGAACTAGTTGTAACAGAAGTAAACAGTACCAATATATACAATGGAATATTACACAGCCATAAGAAGAGATGAAATACAGCCATTTGCGACATGGATGGACTTCGAGATAATCATGCTAAGCGCAATAAGCCAGACAGAAAAAGTTGAAAATCACATGGTATCATTTATATGTAGGATATAAACCTAAAAGCAGCAAATGAACAGGACAAACAGAGACTCATGGACATGGACTACAGACTAGTGGTTACCAGAGGGTATGGGGTGGGGGAAGTGGGGTAGGTAGATGGGGTAAAGAGGGGGTTGGAGGAGGGTGAAGTGGGTAAAGGCGATCGAATATGGTAACTGAAGGAAACTGGACTTTGGGTAGTAAACACACAATAGAATATACAGATGTTAAATTATAATGTATACCTAAAAATTATATAATTGTATTAACCAATGTTACCCCAATAAACTTAATTTAAACTCTTGGGGGAAAAAAAGAAGTAAATAGTACCAGGCATAAAAATATAAAGCAATTAAACTTATTATGTTTAGAAAAATAAAAGACAAGCTTGAAGTAAACAGGACTTTCCAATCAGGGCGAAAGTGTAAAGAAGGGCAGTCTATGCACTATTTGTGCAATGACTTGTACAATGATTTGTATCAGGCAATGGAGACTGACAGGGGCTTTCAACGTTTAGTTCCCAAAAGTATTTTGTAATTACTTTATTCTACCCCTTTTTCCCTTTTAAGGGAAATACATTAAAAAAAATAAAAAATACATAGGTACTAATATAAATATATATCCAATTAACAGTAACATTATATTTAATATACACATTTATATTTACATTTCTTTTAATTTTAGATATTTCAAACAGAAAAGGACAGAAAAACAGAATGACACCCATGTACCCACCAACCACATTTAAGAAGTTAACTTGTCTTATTTCTCCTTTAAAGCATAAAACATTTCAACTATAGTTAAATTCCCACTCACTCCCCTTATCTCCTCCCTTTTATTCCTTCCCTTCTCATAGATCATACTGACTATACTAAAGTGGATGTTTAACTTCCCTGCATACTGTTCTTTTATGACACATCAATACTATGGCCTTTGCCCAATTTTTTGACTCTGGGTGTCCTCATCAGTAAAATGAAGACAACAGCTACCTCTCTAGGAATTTCTCCTCCCCCTGGACTACAAGCTACTTTCTGACAGCAGCCCAGCTAACAAAATGTTGGTTCAATTCACCTCTATTTACTACTCCCCACGCCTCCTCCTTTTCAGTTTCTGATCTCTCAGTCTCTCCCATGACTGGTCCTTACGCTTGAGAGGGACACAGGAGTGCCACCTACACTGGAGGGAGGCACCAGGAGCTGTCAAGCACCTGCAGAATCTCAGGACATTAGGTGGCCAAAGTTTTGAGTGACTTAAGGGCAGGCGAGGGGTATGGGAGAACGCCTGATATTGAGGAAGATGCTTTGGAGTCAGCTCTAGTGCAAATCCTTTTTGTGTTTCGGACTCTCCCTGTCTAAAATAAAGACGATTTTAGTAACAATAAGGACTCAGTAAGGACTACTGAGTAACAATAGAGTCCTTACTATGAATCAAGTACTCTTTGACATCTATTGCATATACTAAGTCGTTTAATCCTGAGGGGGGAAAAAAAAAAAACAAGATGTAGAAGCAATCATTCTTCCCACATGACGCAAGCAAGTAGCGGTACTTAGTTGAAGTAACCACGGAATCACACAGCTGGTTACGAGAAAGAGCGGGGATTCTAACCCGGGCATCTGACGCAGTCTGGGTCCCTAACCACTTCCCTTTACTGGCGGATTGTGAAGCTACAATTTTAAGACAGCGGGTGCCAAGCACGTGGCACACAGTAGACACTCAAGATACACTCGCCCGCTTCACGACTGTGGAAGGCCATAGAACAGTGCGGAGTTTGGAGGAAAACAGGGGCAGGGGCAGCGGCCTGGGTTGAGCCCAGCCGGTGACTACACACTGGGCGCTGGGCCGGCTCGGCCCCAAAGTCTTGGGCGACCCTGCCACAGCTCGCCACCGCCCCGGGCCCATTTGCCTCAGGGAATCGTCTCTACTCTCCCCCAGGTTGCCCGTCGGGCGACAGGGCTCAGCCAGCCGAACTGGGGAGAGCAAAGGAAGGGCCGG